TGTGAGGTGACGGGGGAGCGTTGCTGCATCCCCCTGCTCAGGGAGCCCACAGTGATGGGGTGAGCTGCTCGTGGTCCTGCAGGGGCTGGGACAGACCTGGCTCTGCTCCTGGCACTGCTGCCCCAGGAGGGTCTGTTGGGAGGGCTCTGCTCTCTTCAGAGGGCACAGGCTGTACAGAACACGGCAGAGATGCTCATCTCTTGCATTTCCTATCAACAACCAGGATTTTGCTGTAGGAAGAAAAGCATTCCATTTTTAGATGAATTTTTGCGAAAAAAGTCTTTTGGGGCAAATTCCTCAGAGAGAGCCAAGGATTTGGGCCAGCATTTGAAGCTCATAAATTCAGAATGGACAAATAAATTGTCATCGTGCTGTGACAGCCTCGGGGAGATGAGGGTGCTCACAGCTGCCTGCCACCAGGGAAAGGCCCCTCTTGGTGCTGGGCTGCACTCTTGGGGGTGATGTGTGCTGGAGCTGGAATCCTTTTGCCGTGGAAAATCCCTGTTCAGCATGACTGAAAGCAGTGACTGGGGGTGAGGATCTCCACGTGCAGTTTCCCTCCTGTCTGTGTTGAAAGGCAGAGAGCTCCTGGTGCAGGAGAGCTGTGAGGCTGTTCCTGCCAGGCAGGGTGTCCCTGCCCTGCTGCAGGACCACAGCATTGCCCAGCACACAGGAAAATCTGTGTTTATTCAGATTTCCAGGACCATTTGTGGAAATAATCTCTATCATCACCTCTGCACACGAGTGCTGCTGCTTCTGCTGTGCTTCCTTGGAGAGGTGCAAGCCAAAAGACGAAGGGAAAAAGGAATCTGATCAGCAAAACCCTGTAATTTTTCCTGGCTCGGGCAGGCAAAAGCACACAGAGTTTTTCCTGCTCTGTTCTCAAAGTCTGTTCTGTGTGTCAGGCAGGATCAGCTCCGTGCTGCCATTTGTTCCTGGAGACAGGCAAGTGTTTGCCATGGCAACGTGGGAGGCAGCCTTGGGCATCTCTGGGGCAGGTTGTGTCTGGCAGACGATGGAAGGCTCTGGAAGCTTCTCTGCGTCTCACCAGCCATCTCACGTGTCCCCGTGTCCCTTGTTCTCACCGGTCACAGGGTGTGGGATTCTCACAGAATCCTGGAATAGTTTGGGTTGGAAAGGACATCAAAGCCCACCCCTGCCATGGCAGGGACACCTCCCACTGCCCCAGGCTGGTCCAGCCTGGCCTTGGGCACTGCCAGGGATCCAGGGGCAGCCCCAGCTGCATGATGGGGTAAGAAATGGGAGCACTGCTGTGTTTCCCTGGCCCCTCTGGAGCTTTGGTGCTCCACAGGAGCCTCATCCTTGGTGGTGGCTCAGCCCTGGAGCTGCTCTGGGCCGCGCTCTGCCCCAAGGCACAGGCTCCTCTCGCTCAGACGCTTCTCCGTCTCTGGATGCTTTTCCCATTACTGTTCTGGCAGGGCTCCCTGCACCAGAGGGGCTGGGGAAGTTCTGCCCTCCCTCTGCCTCCCTCCCTTTTTGTGAAATGGAGGCAGAGCGGGCCCACAAATGACATAATGAGAGCATGACATCAGCCTTGGCAGCGGGGCCGCCCGTGCTCTGCCGGGCGTTGTGTGTTCCACGGAGCAAGGGAGCGAACAGCAGTGCCCAAAACCAGCCTGGCCACAGCAGTGTGCAGGAATAACCCCCGGGCTGGCACGGAGGGGGCTGCTGGGCATGGCAGAGGGATGGAGTGGGTGGCACTGAGCTCTCCTGCTGCCCTCAATGCTCTCGTTCCCTCGCTCCTCCATCGGGGCAGCAGCTGCCAAAGGAGCCAGTTCTTGGTGCCTTTTCCCCCTGAAAATTCCCCAGAATTCCCCAAGTCCTTGGGCAGCGGCTGGGGCTGGTGGTGTGTGTGTGGATGCACCCTCAGGCTGTCTGTGAGCTGGGCTGTGGGTACGACAGCTCAGGGATGCACCAGCACCACACAGGCAGTGCTGGCAGGGCTGGGATGGAGCTGAAGGCTCCCAAGGCTCAGGCTGACACCCTCATTACTGAATATTCCCTGATTTCCCAAAGCTTCACCTTCCTCACTAAACCACCTCCCTTTCCCAGAGTATTTGAATGTCTCCCTTAGCTGGGCTGGGAGGTGGCACGGGGCAGTGTGGGGAGCTCTCAGTGACACAGTCTGAGTCCTGTGCTGTAGCTTGGCGACTTCTGGTGCCCCATGTCCCACAGAATGACATTGCGTGGCTCCTGGACACCGAGGCAGGACCGAGCAGTTGTGACTGGTGGCTGCCCTTTTCCAGGAGGCACAGCGTGTTCCCAAAGTCCCCCCGAGCCACAGGAAAGGACATTTTTCCTTCTCGTGAGGAGGGCGTCAGGCTGTGTGTGCAGAGAATGTCAATGGAGAGCCTTGTTTGCTGCTGGCTTCGCCTCTGCCTTGAACCTGCTCTGAATTTCCTCTGGCCTGGCAGTGGGCTGGGAAAACACAGTCGTGGCAGTTTGTGGTAGCGCCAGGCTCAGCTCTGTCCCACGCCTTTGCCTTGGCTTTTCTTGCTCAGTGTTTCCTGGTTTGGATTTTTCTCTGCAGCCCGGCTCAGTTCCCATGCCAGGAAGGCATAAGATGATTTTCCGTGCCTGTTGCAGAGGGAGCAGTGGGAGAGGGCAGCTCCTCGCTGGAGGTGGCAGGCGCTGCCTCCACCACCACTCCTCACTTGTCCCAGCTGTCCTGTCACCTCAGCTCTGCTTCCCCTGCAGGCTCTGCACCCAGGAGCTCAGGGAGGGTGAAAACAGAGGAGTTTTATGCCAGTTCCTCATGGGATCACGAGGGCAAGCAAAGAGCAAGGGAGTCACCCTGGTTTGTAGGTACCAGTGGGTGCCAGCTGGTGCCTGGCCTGGGTGGGGCTCAGCAAGGTGGGAGCCAAGGGCATCCTTGGGCAGCATCTGAGCTCTAGAGGAGTGCCAGAGTGCCAGGGTTAATTGCAGCCTCCAGGGGGGCAGCCTCTGGGGCTGAGCCCCAGCTCTGCTGGGAGTGCTGGTGCTGGAGCAGGCTCAGCTCAGAGGGGTGAGCTCAGCTCGTCACCCCTGATCTGATCATCACACCAGCTGGGAGTGGAGTGTGCAGGATGCCAGCCAAGGTCCCTTAAAAGGACAGGAGGAGCCCTCTCCAGCCGTGAGACATGACAGTGCTGGCACCCCAAAGGCAGTGTCTGCCACCTTCCCAAGGTTCCCTTGCCCCACGCTCCCCCTGCAGCCAAGGAACGCCTTGGAAGAGGCTCTTGGAAATGGCAGAGCCCTGTTTTTGTAGCAGCTGAATGGTTTGTTTTGGAGGGTTTGCTTGTCTGGGCGAGGAGCAGGAAGGCATCTGAGCTGAAACTCCCATTTCCTTTCCTTGGACTTGAGGTGCTGCCTAAAAACCAAATGGGCGACTTCCAGGTATTTCAGAGGAGAAGGGAAATATTTGTGCTGGTCTCCCTGTAGGGTGGCTGGGTGGAGGTCTGGCCCTTCCCCACACAGGTGCAGTAGGGACAGGGGGTTCAGAGTACAGAAGTGCTCAGGAGAGGTGGAGCTGGGGTGTCCCCAAGGAGGGTCTGTCCTGCCTGGAGCACCTGTCCTTGCTGTCTCTGTGCTTATCTTCCAGAGGGAGCTGGAAGCAGATTTGGGGGTGGCTTTGCTGTCCCTGTGCAGAGTGGGGCTCAGCCAGGGATGCTCTGTGCTCCTGCCCTGCTGTCCCAGCTGCTCAGATCCCTGGCGTGATCCCATGTTTTTGTTAATGTCCTTTTCCTGATGTATTTACTGAGCTGGTATTTTGCACATTACTTGGACTTCTGTATTGGTGTAGCTGGTGAACTCTTCTGAATCTGCTCTAAGCTTGGCAAATAACTCCCAGGCAGCAAAATCAGGGAAAATAAACCTTTTAAAGAGACATCCATCCCTGTCACTTATCCCCAGTTTCCTGGAATCGTACGTAATTTTCCTGCCAGTTTGGCAGAATTCTTTTCATTTGGATAAATGAAGTTTAAATGTCAGATCAAACCAAGAAATAATTGATTAAAGGGTAGAAATAACAGCTGAGACAGCCAGGAGAAGTGAGAGGAGGTGTTTGTAGGAAAAAAGGTGAGAAAGGAGTGTGGCAAAGTGTGTCCAGCCCTGTGCTCTCCTGGGAGCTCAGCCAGAAGTCCACGAAGGGTAAGAACCATCACATGGGCTTGCAGGAAGGGTTTTGATGCTGCTGAAAGGAAGTTCAGGCCAAAGGAGATTTTTCTGAAAACGAATAGTGAAGTTTGTTGAACAAGTGGAGACCGAGGAGCGAAACTTTCGCTTCTCTGAGTGACATTTAAATGTGGGGAGGAGGATGCTGGGTGAGGAGAGAGCTGGGCTGGACAGGGCCAGTTTGGTTTGGATGAGCTGAAGGCTCTTGCTGTTACTGGGAGCAACTGGAGACTTTTTTAAGCAGTGTTCCTTTTAGAATGACAATCTGTCCTGATTTCAAACGGAAAATATTCTTTATTGCTACTTCTTCTTCCATTTTAAGCTTTTCCAAAGAGAGACAAAAAGATGTTTAAAATGTGGGGTTGACGCATCAATTGTGTAATTACTGATCAGGGCTTTGGCACCAGAAACACTCTTGGAAGTTCATCATAAATTTTTCTCTGAGTTAATTACTACTTGAGTCTAAAGTACTTCTTAATGACTTCTTTGAACATAGATTAGGCTTGAATATCTTTTAAGAGGGTGCATCACGTTTAGTACCACGTGTGGCATGGTGTAATTGCTCCAGGTGTGCTGCAGAGTGGGGGCACATCCTGAGGCTCCTGATCTTTTTGTACAGGTTATATGAGCAGCAAATGCTTTATGGTTTTGGGAAAGGTGTTTTCTTTGGCTGGGAAAAATGCTCTGCCTTCAACACATCCCTTTTCCAGTCAGGATTCTGGCTGGGGTTTGGAGAGAGGCTCTTCTGAGCTCTGGTAATGGAGGTGTGACAAAACGGGCTTGAACGAAGGCTGAAAATTAATTTTTTTTTTTTTTTCTTTCCTTAGGGATCTTTCCAATAACAGGATCAGTGGTTTAGATGTTGAGCTCTTCAGAAGCCTGACTTCTCTGGCAAAGCTGTGAGTACTTGCTGTTCCCCCCAGTCCTCCCAGTGCCCCCAGCAGGGCTGAGCTGGGCCCTGGCTCTCTTGCACTGGTTTGCTTTGCTCTTGCTCCACCTCATCTCCCCAGCCCCACGTGGTCCTGCCCATGGGCTCCCTCCCTGAGGCCAATTGGGAGTGATTTGGGAATTATTGGCATTTGGGAATTATTGGCCTTTGGAGCTGGGCAGGGTTTGTCCCTCTGTACTGCTGGATGGAGAGGAGCTCATGGCCAGAAAGCAGAATTATCACAAGGTGTCTGTTGGTACTGGAAGGGACCTTAAAGTACATCTTCCACTACCCCAGATTGCTCCAAGCTCCATCCAAGCTGGCCTTGGGCACTGCCAGGGATCCAGGGGCAGCCACAGCTGCTCTGGGCACCTGTGCCAGGACCTGCCCACCCTGCCAGGGAAAAGCTGCACTGACGAGGAAGTGGCCTCTAACATGATGAACTTTTCTGTCTTTTACAGAGATATAAGCCACAACCAGATTTCTACATTAGAAGATGGAATATTTGATAATTTATTTAATTTAAGTGAAATGTAAGTTCATCTTTGTTTCCCAGTTCTTTATTTAGACCTTTCCTTGAAACATCCCTTCCTTTCCTGCTGGGTGGGAGGCTGTGCTGACTTGGAGAGATGCTGGGCAGCTGCCCACCCAAGCAGCTGCTTTTTGGGGTGTCTCCAGTTCCTTCCTCACGCTGTGTGCTGCTCCTGGGTCCTGTTGTCCATCAGTCCTGACCTCTTCCTGGTCTCTGTCTCCTGGGATCTCCAACCTCTGCTGCTGCCTTCTTGTCTTCCTGGCTCCTCTCCCACACCAGCTCTGCTGAGGTTCTTGTCTCTGACCGTGGTCACACTGTCCTGCTTGCATGGTCACACCTGGCCCTGGAGCAGCGTGGTAGGTCCTGACTGAGGTGCCCAAGTCACCTGAAGAGGTTGTCCTTAAGGGATTCAGGTTTTCAGGTTTTGTTTTTTAATTGAGGTCTTTCGATGCTGAGTGAAGGGGGGTGAGGAGAAGCCACACATTTCCAGGAGGGATCCCTGAAGTCACAGCACAAATGGCAGTTCTGGCTGTGGGTGAGCCAAAGGATTAACCCTGTGCAAGCCCTCTTGGCCAGAGAGAAAAGCTCAGCCCCACATTGTCCCTGAGGACAGGACACAAAGAACACCCTCAGCGTTGCAGTTTGGCTCCCAAGTGGCTCTGGAAGGACAGGGGGGCCCAGGGCTGGGTCCCAGCGAGCTGTCCCTGCTCAGCCTGGTGGCACAGTGGTGCTTTCAGCCCCAGGGTCAGGGCTGAGCCCTGCAAGCACCCAGCCCTGCTGGCATCAGCTCCACACACAGCTCCAGCTCTGTCCTGCTCACAGCTGAGTGCCAAAGGCTGTCATTTGGATCAAGCTTAGCTGCAATTAAAGTTTTCCTCTTTTCATTGAACTGCTGCATGGAAAGATTATCATTGACTTTGCATTTCTTTTTTTGACAGATGAATTTTATTCTCTTAGCTATTTTCTAATGGTGCTGTAAATAGTCTCCCCGAGCAGGAGAGGCTGCCCTCATACCCTGGGGCTCTTGCATGGCAGATTTTTTTAGATATATGATTGTGCATGGCATATTTTTTTTTAGATATATGATTGTGTCTGTCATTTGCTTCTAATTGCAACAATTATTTGTAGAGTTAAAAAAGTACTTGGAGTACTTGCCTAATTCTAGCCTCTAGAAAAAATCACGTTAATTATTGCTTGATTCCCTATTCATTAACTCCTCTCCCAGTTATTCCAAAGCCTTTCAGTGGAGTGGCACAGATGGGAACAGGGAGGGCTCGGCACACTGCTGTAATTAAGGCTTAGCACATGTCACATTAATCCTTAACTTGTTCTGATCTCCCTCTGACAGAAACTTAAGTTGGAATCCATTTGTTTGTGACTGCAAACTGTCCTGGCTGCCCCGCTGGGTGGAGGACAGGAACGTGAGAGTCCTTGAGGCGTCGGACACGAGGTGTGCCCACCCCCCCGAGGTGGCCAACCTGTCCCTCTTCGATGTCCTGTTCCTCAACACCACCTGTGGTAAGGAGAGCTGTGGGGTGGAGCTGGCTGAGTGGCCTCAGGGGCAGCTGGGGCCTCTTCAGACCTTCAGTGAGCAGTTCTAATCTCATTAATCAGGTGTTGGTCACTCACTGTGTACCCTGGTGCCCTAAGGACCAAGGCACTCACACCAGGGCTGAGATTAGCCCTGACCACAGAGCAGACACCACAGGACTGTGGCTCTGTGACCTGCAGCCCCAGGCTGTCATTGTCCCAGGGTCTGAACAGGCTGAGCTCAAGCCCTGAAACCTCTTGGGAGGTGATGGCACCTGAGGACATGCTGAGCTGGGTCTTTGCAGGTGGCAGGGCTCCACTTTGGGAGAGAATGAGCAGTGCCCTGGTCTACAGCCACCTGCTCCGGGGGCACTTTACTGACTGCTTGGCCAGGAGAAATGTCAGGCAGTGATTCAGTGGAAAAGGGAGAGCCCTAAGGAAACTCATCCTGCCTGGGTGCTCGGTTATTCTGGAATGAGAGGGAGGAAGGGAGAAAAAGGGGGCCTCCTGCCTGTGGCAGGCAGCAGGCATCTCCTTTGATTTGGGGGCTGTGGATGGGGCAGGAGGATGCAGGGGTGAGGACCCAGAGCTGTGTGACAGGAGGATGCAGAGATGAGGCTGAAGGACCCAGAGCTGTGTGACAGGAGGATGCAGGGATGAGGCTGAAGGACCCAGAGCTGTGTGACAGGAGGATGCAGGGATGAGGACCCAGAGCTGTGTGACAGGAGGATGCAGAGATGAGGCTGAAGGACCCAGAGCTGTGTGACAGGAGGATGCAGGGATGAGGCTGAAGGACCCAGAGCTGGTGGGAACCAGCTGAGCTGCCTGGTGAGGAGCAGTGTTCCCCAAGACCAAAATCCAGGTGGTGGTTGTTCCTCTTCCCCCAGCAAAGCTACCCCAGCTTGCAGCATCTTGCAGGAGTTATCAAAGGGAAAAACACTTGGCGCTGTTACTGCTCTTGACAATTAGTTGTTCCCTCTTGAACTACTTTAAGCCAGTGTGGAAACAATAATGGGAGGCTGCCTTCTGGGTAATTCAGTGTAATGGGAGTAGGCTGGGACAGCCTGCCAGCTCCTGACAGCTCTCAGTGACCGGCAGGGGATGAAGAATGACCAGGCTGGTGGTGGAAAACAGAGCAGTTCCTGTGCCGTGCTCCTCTCCAGGGACTGTTCTTGGGAGAAGAGGCTCAGCATTTGCAGGAAGGCCGTGGAGGAAGCTGGACAGCTGGATGGGTTTGATCTGGGAAGATCACACGAGGCTGGAGCTGTTGAGATGTTTGGATGTTTGGGGAGATGTTGTAGCAACCAGCGGCGGCGGCGCAAACGTGGCCGGGCCACGTGGGCAGAGGTGGAGGGAGAGGCCCTGCCTGGGTGTTTGTGGCAGGGAAATGTCCCAGCCCTGCAGGCCAGAGGCAGGGGATGACACTCAGGGGAATGGGCTGTTCCTCTGTGCCCATGTGTGTCCCTGCTCCCTGGCACAGCACGTGTTGATCCCGTGGGCATCCCTGCACCTGGGCCTGGCATCGCTCTCCTCTCCAGCTCCACGTTTTCCTGCAGGGAGGGAGACTCTTGGCTCTCCCCATGGAGGAAGGTGCCTCAGGGAGTGGGCCTGGTGGAGGGTCCATCAGTGTGTCCCCTGTGTCCCCAGTGTGCCACTGCCCAAGGGTGTTTGGTTTTGGATTTGCTGCTGGAGGTCCCAGGCAGCACATGGTGAAACATTCTGCACTGACCACGCCAGGGTGCCACCAAAGGACATCCTTTTGTCATGGTCTCACTTGGTAGCAAGTCCTGTGGGCTCCTCTGAGTGTCAGACTCAGTGGCTCCATGTCCCATGGGAGTGTCAGGCTCTCCAAAGCCCTGTTTTATTTACTGACTGCCACTGCTCCATAAATCTGTGTGACTGGCTTGTTATTTCTGTCATCACTAATTAGCATAAAGAGTTTGGAAACTGTTGCTGGGGGATTAAAGACTTCCCAGGCAAGTCTCAAAAAGGAAACACTCAGAGCAGGAGCTGAGCAGGAAAATTCCATTCCCAGAAGTGTGGGGTGGTTCTCTTGGAGGGCCTCACCAATCCATGGCATCCCAGAGTCTGTTTTGCAAGAGGATCTTCTGTTCTGTCCTGCAGGAGCTCAATACATCACGTGTCTGACAGGAAACTACACCGAAGAAGCTGAGCTTATCATCCTCTTCACCTCTGTCCACCCTGGGAACCTCACTGAGGAGACCTGCAGTGCCCTCTGTTACTCCCAAGACCAGGAGTATGGGGGTTTCAGCCCCCAGGGGCAGTGTTTGTGTGGAACTGCCCACGAAACAAACTCTTCCTCCGGCTGTTTGCCATTTTGCACTGAGCATTTGTCTGGGCAGGGCTGTGGTGGCCCCTCACTCGTCCCCTTGCCCTTCCAGGCACAGCTGCCTGTGTCTTTCACAGGACTGCAGCCCCGCTACAGCCTGCACCAGCCCGTGCTCTTCAATGTCAGTATTCCCATTGCTGCCAGCACTTTACTGTGGGAATTTGGGGACCAGAGCGAGGTTCTCAACACCACTGGACACACGGCCGTGCACAGCTACGCCCTACCCGGGCACTACAACGTCACTGCCACCCTCCTCGTGGGCTCCAGGCTCCTGCAGCAGCAGGCAGAGATTGAGGTGGTGGCTTCACCCCAGCAGCTGGAGCTGCAGTGTCCCTCCCTGGTGGTGGCAAACGAGAGCCTGGACATCCGGATCCGCAACAGGGGCGGCACGGGGCTGGCGCTGCTCTACGGGATCACCGCCGAGCCCGGCGAGCTGGGCAGGGGTGAGCAGGGCTCCTGGGGGGCTGGGCCGGGTGGCACTGGCTCTTGGGGTCCCCTTTGCCTCCCCAGCCAGTGAGGGGTGGCTCCTCTGGGGGTGAATTCCAGCTCCCTGGCTCTGAGCAGTGTTTTGCACTCTGACAGCGATGGGGTTTGTTGGCTTCAGGGCTGGCACATTCCTGGAGCCTCTCTGCCCACGTTGGGTCGGGGTGTGTGGCCCGTAGCCAGGACATCACCCCTGTGTTCTTTCTGCAGCAGTTCACCCCATGTGCCCCCCTGAGGGCTTGGTTTTCCCGGGAAATAACCACTGCTACCAGCTGGTGGTGGAGAAGGCGGAGTGGCTGGAGGCGCAGCGGCACTGCCAGGAGCTCGGCAACGGGGACCTGGCTTTTGTCAGCAGCCCCGACATCCAGAGCTTCCTCGTTGCTCATGTCATCAGGTGAGTGAGCAGAGGAAGGGCTGCCATCACCCAGGCACAGGTTTTGGCTCCCTGAGTGAGCAGGGGAAGGGCTGCCATCACCCAGGCACAGGTTTTGGCTCCCTGAGTGAGCAGGGGAAGGGCTGCCATCACCCAGGCACAGGTCTTGGTTTCCTGAGTGAGCAGGGGAAGGGCTGCCATCACCCAGGCACAGGTTTTGGCTCCCTGAGTGAGCAGGGGAAGGGCTGCCATCACCCAGACACAGGTTTTGGCTCCCTGAGTGAGCAGGGGAAGGGCTGCCATCACCCAGGCACAGGTTTTGGCTTACTGAGGGCAGGGGGGTGTGAGTGTGAGGAGCTGGTGGGGGTGAGGCTGAATGGAGAGGAGTGAGCAGAGCTCGAGCCCTTGCTGGACTTGGCTTCTTTCCTTAAAGGCTGTGGAGGGAAGAAGAGGAATGGGGCAGAATCACAGCTGGGAATTGAGAGATTGGTGGGCTTCGTGTACCCTGTGTTTGTGCCTGTGGATGCCTCTGAAATGTGGAAAGGGGTCATGAGCCCTCAGACACGGCTGCAGCCCAAAGCCCAGACCCTTTCCCCTCGTGTCTCTCACCCTGGGAAGGAGCAGTGCTCCTCTCCAGCAGCATCTGTTCCACCTCAGGCCTGGGCTTTATAAACAGAGAGTGCTGCAAGTGTCAGCCTTTGATTAAATCCGCCCCTCTGAGTGCCCTTTCTCCAGGCAGTCATTCCGGGGGAGGGAGGACAACCAGGAGAGCTCTCAGGACCTGACAGCCCTTGTCAGCACTCCCAGCTGCAGCTGTGGGAGCTGGGCTCCTCACGAACACATCCCAGAAATCCCAGAAAGCAGCAGGAAGGGAGCAGCTGGTGGGGCTGACGTGGGCTCTGAGCGCTGCCAGCCCCTTCTTGCCAGCCTTGTGCCCCCTTCCCTCCACACGGGGCTGTGTCCTCACATTGCAAACCCGTGTCCCCTGCCCTGGGGAAGGGAAGGGAGCTGTGTCTGCCCCTGCTGAGGAGTGGGCATGGCTGCTGGGATGTGCAGGAATCGCGTGTGGAGCTGCTGGAACCACGAGAGGCTGTTCCCCAGCTGCTGCCCCACAGCCTCTGCTCCCCAGCCCCCTCTAGCCCGTGTGTTTATTTTATTAATCCGTGCAGATAAACATGAAGGAGGCAGCTCCAGGATGTGATTTCCCTGGCGATAAAAGGCGAGTGGGCCGAGCTGCAGGGTTTTGGAACACGCAGCTTCCCTAGTTTCTTATGGAAGATGGCAGAAGCTGGAGGCTGTTTCCCATCAGGGCACTGGGCAGGTCTCTGCTTTGCTCCTGGAGTGGGATGGCCTCCCCAGGAGCAGCATGTGCTGAGCTGCTCCCTCCCTGCCTGCAGAAGCAGAGGATAGGACCATGCAGGGGACCCCCTTTTCTGGGCAGCACAGAGAGCCCCTCTGCCCTTCCCCAGGCTTGTTCTGCTCCTCCTGCCCCAGCAGGGCAGCTCAGTCCTTCCTCAGAGGCAGAGGAGAGCTCACATCTTGCTTTAAAAAAAGCTAGTTCAGATCCTCCTGTTTCCCCTGCAGTGGAATGGGCTGGGCAGTGGGGCAGGGTGGGAACCAGCCAGCAGCTTGTCTTTTAGTTATTCCTTTCTTTCTTACTTTTTGGGTTTGTTTTTTTTTTTCCTAATGACTTGCAGTTAGATCATAGCTGGAATTAGAAAAGGAAAATCTCCAGTGAGTTTTCCTGATGGCAGCAGGCAGGCAGTTTCCTACCCTGCTCTCCCTCACTCCCTGCCAGTGGTTCAGGAGCAGAACACAGCCCTTATTTATTTGTTCATCTCATTTGCAGTGAAAACTACTGATTCATGGAACAAGTTATTTTTGTCATCGTTTTTCAGCGTGACCTCATGAATCATTTCATCTGGCATGAGCCTGGGGGTGGAGAGGCACCAGTTACCACCAGTTATCTCCCCAGTCTGCTTTGCAGAGCTGTGCTACCACCCTGGGAGCAGGCTGGGGCAGGCAAGGGCATGGCTGGATTGATTTCCACCTGCAGGAGGGAGCGTGGGGAAGGAGCTGAGAGCTTGGGAGGGTGCAGCATGTTAAATGGAGAAGTTAATAGAAGTTAATATGGAACAAATGCCTCCCTTTCTGCTGGGTGAGATCAGAAACGGCTCTCCAGGGTCTTTGTGGCCATGAGAGACCTCTCAGCACTTTGCACCAGGATCTCAGCTGGGATTGAGCCAGTTTCCAGATGGAGCAGGGACATTTCATCTCGTGAAGGAGCCTGGCAGTGTCCTGTGCGTGGGGTTCACTGCCTGCAGTGCTCCAGCCTCTGCTTGTCCCCTCTGGCTGCCTTTCCATGGTGGCTGAGGAGCTCATCATCTCCAGGAGCTGCATCCAGGAGAGCTCCCAGAGCTGGCACTGCTGAGCTTTAGTCCTGCACTGGTGCCAGTGCCACCTGCAGTGGAGGATGGACTGGTGGGAAATCCCCCAGGTGTGCCCAGGAAAAGCACAAGTCTTCTGAGGGATTCAGCTTTCCCGGGCAGTTCTGTGTGACCAGATCATTCCTCCTGGGTTGTGACTCAAGACAGGCTTGGCACAGCCTGGGAGGGTCATTTGGTGACAGAGTGCAAGTCAGCCTGCTGGTCACAGAACCAGGGAGTCATGGAATGGTTTGGCTTGGGAGGGATCCTAAAACTCATCCTGTTCCACCCCTTTCCACGGCAGGGACACCTTCCACTGCATCCCAGGCTGCCCCAAGCCCTGTCCAACCTGGCCTTGGGCACTGCCAGGGATCCAGGGCAGCCACAGCTGCTCTGGGCACCTGTGCCAGGGCCTGCCACCCTCACCAGGCTCTTGGGACAGAGCTGGGAAGGCTGGAGCAGAGCGGTGCTGTGCTGTGGAGGGGCAGTTCCTGAGGCTCTGGTGGTAGAGTGGATACTGAAACCCTTTAGTAATTCCAAGGCTCCATGAAATGCAGCCCATGACACCCCGATGGAGCTGCTGTTATTATTTTTAGAGAGAACCATAGATGGCAGCTGTCCCAGCTCTTTCTAATACTCATGATTTCCTGAAATCCCCCCTCCCCCTTCTTCTTTTTTTTTTTTTTTTTTTTTTTTTTTTATTTTTTTTTTTTTTTCCAGGGCCCTCTTTTTCGGGTTTGTTTCAAATTTTTTTTTTTTTTTTTTTTTTTTTTTTTTTTTTTTTTTTTTTTAATTTTCTTTTTTTTTGCAGGAGCCTCGATGTCTGGATTGGATTCAATGATTTTGCAAGCTCTGGAGCTCAGCAGAGAGGGGAAGGATTTAATCTGGAGAGCTGTCAGAACTGGCTGCCAGGAGAGCCCCATCCCTCCAACGCCGACCACTGCGTGCGCATGGGCCCCACGGGCCAGTGCAACACCGACCTGTGCATGGCCAAGCACAGCTATGTCTGCGAGTACAAGCCACCAGGTGGGCTCTGCTGGCCCTGCTGCTGCCACCAGGGCTGGGCAGGGGTCCCCTCCCTGCCACTGGTGTGGAAAAAGAGGGATGTGTGGAGAGGCTCCTCCAGGGCGTCAGCACAGAACGAGTGCGACTTGCAGCAATATTCCCAAACCCAACTTCTAGAAACCCAACCTCAGCCCAAAAGGAAGTGTTTGGCTTACTCCAGTCTTTGCCATATTACAGAATCACAGAGTTTCTAGGTTGGAAGGGACCTTTAAGATCATCGAGTCCAGCCCATGCTCTAACACCTCAGCTAGGTCACGGCACCAAGTGCCACATCCAGTCTTTTTTCAAACACACCCAGGGAGGGTGCATCCACCACCTCCCTGGGCAGATGATTCCAGTATTTGACCTCTCTTTCTGTGAAAAACTTCCTCCTTAAGCCTAGCCTGTATCTCCCTTGGTGCAGCTTGAGGCTGTGTCCTCTTGTTCATGAGCAGAAGGAGAGAGGGGAGCAAAGCTCTGAGGCAAAGCACTGGAAACAGCTTTTCCCTCTTACTTGAGGGAAACTTACTTCCCTCTTGCTGCTGGCAGGATCTGAGGCCGTGCTGCTGCCTTGGTGGCTTGGTGTCCTTCTTTGTGTATTTTGGGAGCTGTTGGGGTGGCTCAGAAGTTGATTAGGTGAGGTGTGATGTGCTGTGCAGGTTTGTGGTTATTCAGCTTTCCAAATCTTCCACACCGCTGTAGGAAGAAAGAGAAGTAGGAATGGACATGAAACAGGGGAGAAGAATTATTTAAGAAGGAAAAGCCATGGCCAGAGAGAGCACTGGCCTGGTCAGAGGGGCAGCAGCAGCTGCCCAGTCCCCAGAGAGCCAGCAGTGTTTGCCACTGGTGGAAACCAGTTGGTCGTGGCCACATTGCCCAAGAAGTCCAGGGCACAGGGAGGATGAGAAAGTGCACCTGGTGCTCAGAAATTCCCAGCAAATCATTAGTTCTTGGAAGGGAGAGTTCCTTGCACAGTTCCTAGAAATCAAAATTGCTGAACGTTGTAAATGAAAATGTTGTTTGTGCTGGATGAGAAAGAAGTCAAGATACCTGTAAGGAGAAGGGAGATTCAGGATTATGGAGCTGCTGCTCTCCTGGGTGCTCCAAGCCCTGCTGCAGCTTCACAGGGTGGAGGGAATGGCCTCAGGCCCTGCTGAGTCTCACGGGCTTTGTTCCAATATTTCCTTTGTACACAGGAATTCTCCTGAACGCCGAGAACTTCTTTGAGGGAGAGGCTGAGCTGGCCCCGCGCGGGGCCGTGAGGAGCCTGAGCGAGGCCGTGCCGGCGGAGCCCTGGCAGGCTGAGGAGGTGAGGGGGGATGCTGGGGGGGCTTTGCTCCTCCTGTGCTGCCCAGGGGTCCCTGGGGCCGCGGGCAGGTGAGAGCTGTGCGTGTTCTGCAGGTGCTGCAGTTCCCAGAGCTGGCCTTCAGGCACCAGGGCTTCCTCGCTGCCCTGGACTTCGTGGCACAGGAGCTGCAGCAGCCCGTCCAAGTGAGCTTCCAGCTGCACAGATTGGTGCATGGAGAAGGTGAGGCTGCTCCTCAGCGCCTGTGGGATTGCTGGAGGTGGCACCATCAAACTGGGGCTGGCCTTGTGGCCCCTCTGGTGCTCGGACCCTTAAAGCTCAGAGGTTTGGTTCTGTTTTTGGAGGAGATCGAAGTGTGGGATCCACAGCCTTGGAGCAGTGTTATCCTGGGGAAAATAACAGAGGGAGAAACTTCTCTCCATGCATGAGGAGAGTGTGAGTGCAGGGACCATGTGGAGAAGCTCATTAATCTTCTGAGCTGTACTTTCTGCTTTGTGAAGACACATGTCAAACGGGAATGTGTTCTGGTCCATCTGGCCCCACGGGTTAACAAGGAAGAACATTTTCCTGAGCCCATTTCTTCCTGATGGATGAGATAATCTAAAAAGCCTTTTATTCCTTGTACAAGAGCTCAACAGTCACAGTTTTGGCAACAATTAATTCTGCAGCAGAATGTTTGTTGTAGCCGTGGGGTTGGCTGGTTACAAAAGGATCTTTTCTGACACTGACAAGCTGATACTTTGACATGGAAACATTAACTTCAGAAAAGTTGCTTAATGTGTTTTCAATGTCAAGGCCAGCTCTTGCTTTCACTTGGACTCACTTCTGCTGTAGCACATATCCTTTCAGAATGCAAAGTGGTACGTTCTCGCTGGAAAAGAGACAACTTTGGGCTTAATGATCTTGGTGGATTTTTCCAGTAAAAGAGGACATTTATGTAGCAGCAGGATGTGCTGCAGTTGCAGCTTTTGCTAAGAGTGGAGCCATCACCAAAATGGAAAAAAGGGTGAATTTGGAGCAGAGGAGTGCATTAGTAGTGTTACTCACCAGAGTGGCTATATCACTGATTTCTCTTTCACTTTTTCCAGACTACCAGGAGGAAAACAATGCTACAGAACCACTCCCCAGTGCTCAGGACGATGGGAACTGGACGCTGCTGGAGTGTCCTCCTGGTTTCCAGTGGTGTCCTTTGAGGAATCTGTGCTCATCCCACAAGAGCTGCTGCAATGGGACCGAGTGTGCCAACAGCTCCTCTGGCAGCAGCCCTGCCCCGGGGGCCCTGCAGCCCAACGCCAGCCAGCCCAGCTATGAACTCCTCAAGGAGTTCCTCTTCTTGGTACCAGCTGGCCCCTCTTCCCAGTACCAGGTCAGTGTTTGCTGCTGTGACCAGTGGATGGGTGGGGAACTTTTCTCCTGGGGGCTTTGGGTAAGTTTGGGTTGTTCCCACGTGGCAGATGGAGCCACTCAAGTCCATTGGAATGGAAGGACGTGCCCAGTGGCACACGGGCATTGGGCTCCCTGCAGTCCCCTGTGCCTGGGGTGCTGGAAGGTGTCCCTGCCCATGGCAGGGGGTGGAACAGCATGGGTTTAAGGTTCCTTCCCACCCAAACCATTCCATGTTTCCATGACAAGGCTGTGCAGATTCCCACGGGCTGTTCCCGTGGCGTTAACACAGTGGAGATGGAGCATAAAGCTGATTTGTTTTTTGGTACATTTGATTCAGAGAGGCCAAGGAGGGTGGAGTGGTGGAAGGTCTCCCTGTGCTTTGTTGGGATCTGCACCTTTTCTGTCATTTCCCACCTGGCAGGAAATCCAGCATTGTGCCAGGGCAGCAGTTGGCTGCTGACTGCTCTTGACATCAGGCATGAACCCAAACCCCTCTCCTCTCTCTGCAGGTCACATTCAGCAAAGAAAACGTCTTTGTCAGGGCTGGGGACGTTTTCAGCATCCAGCACAACGCAAGCTCGGGCTCGTTCCTGCAGTGCCACCGCAGTGCCACCTCCCTGGCCAGGAGGAACTCCTCTGAGCGGGCACTGGGCCCGTCCCCCAGCCCAGTGGATGTCCCCTGGAGCAGCAGCACGGCGTGCTCTGTGCGGGTGAGTGCAGGAGCCTAAAGGAGAGATGTGGGATCCAGGCAGCTCTTCCAAATGCATTTTTTACATCCAAGATGTTACAGCACTCCAGGGTCGTGGGTGACAGAGCCTGTGCCTACAGCTGTCAGCTGCAGCTGCAGGCAGGCCTGGAGAGCCTTAGCTTAGGTTACAAATGCATTATATACTCTCCTTTGCTGAGCATCTTCATACAGCAGAACCAATCTATACCTTAACTTTTATCTATAGCCTATCATAACTACTATAATTAACATATTCATGTCACTATTCTCCAGTCACTAAAAGTTAGTACATTTTCTGCTAAGGAGAAAAGAGTGTGAGACATTCTTGTCAGACTTCCCTCCTTCCCATCAGGTGCGCTACGCCGAGGAGCATCTGGTGCCGGTGCTCGGCGCGCAGAACGCGGGGCTGGAGCAGCCCGGGCTCTACCAGCTGCAGGCCAGCGCGGACAACGGGCTCTTCCGTGCCAACCTGTCCTGCCGCTTCCGCGTGGCCTCCCGCGTGTCCGGCCTGCGGGTCATCCACCCGGCGCCGCAGGGCTCCAGGCTCTACCTGCCCACCAACCGCACCTGGCTGCTGCTCAAGCTGTCCTCGGGGGTCAACGCCACGGCCGGCTGCCTGGGGGACAACCGCACCGTGCCCTTCGTGGCCGGCTGCCCGGCGGCCGTGGCCTCGCTGTGCGCCAGGGAGAACAACGACACCTGGTTTGCTGTGCTGCAGCTGGGCGGCCTCGGCGAGGGCGTCAGCACCCACGTGCTGGTGGCAGAGAACCCGGTGAGCTCCCAGAACATCACGGTCACCGTGAAGGTGGAGGAGCCCATCCGCGGGCTGAGGGCCACGCCCGACCCCGAGAGCAGAGTGCTGCTGAACACGCGGGTGGTGAGTGTTGGTTTGCTGCTGCTCCGAAGCCTCCCCTGGGTGGGTGTAGCCCTGCCCTGGGGCTGGCAGGGTGTATTTGCCTCGGGTAGGGGGGCACTGCTTGCTGCTAAGCTGCCAGGCCGTGCGCTGCTGCAGGCACAGCATGTGGCACCAGCACTGGTGCTCTCCAGCAGGAAGGCAGCTCAGCTGCACGTCCCCCTGGAGCCCCTGGGGTAAGGCAGTGCCTCCTGAGAGGGATCTCTGCCTGTCAGCTCCCCAGGACACTGGAGGCTTTAGGAAAGGCCAGCGTTTACCTTGTTTTGCCTTGTCCAGGTAGTTGTTCCTTGAGGTGTTTAGATTTGCTCTGCTTAATCCTTACATCAGCTGGCTGAAGCTGTAGAGATGTTTTACCTCTCCACATCTTGGAGTTCCTCTGGTGTTTGCAGTCTTGTTTTTTTCCAGTCCCCCATCCCCAGAGCTACAGCCCTGGGAAGCTGCTCAGTAACTGCCCCAAATGCTCTGTACAAGCTCTGGCTGCTTCTGGCAGATCCTGTGCCTGCACCTCTCAGTCTCACCCTTCCTGCTGCCACAGGCTGCTCAGGAGGCACTGTTGGAGTGAGGAGGGACCTGCCCTGTCCAGCCCCTTCACTCTTTGGGTCAGGCACCATCCCTGGACGAGGGTCAGAGGCTCAGCTTACAGGTGTAGCTAAAGCCAGGCTGTTTCTGCAGAGATTTCAGAAGGTTTTTTAGTCAGCAAGAGGGACCTGATCACAAGAGCAGAGTGCTGGGCTGTGGGAACAAGGAGTGTGGGGTCTGCTCCCAGCTCTGCTGGGGATTTAAGGAGTCAGGGTCTGCATTTCTCCGTCAGCAGCAGAGCCACAGATGATCTGTCAGCTCTGTGCCATGCTCTGAGGGCACTGCAGCTGTGGGAGCCTCCCAGTCTGGCTCTGCTCCCTCTCCAGTTCAGCTGGAGGTCTCCTGGGAAGTGCTGGGCATGCTTTTCTCTTGCACTAGTGTGAAATGTTCTCGTGCCTTTCAGAGCTACATCCCTGTGATGGAGGCTGGGTCAGATGTGACTTTCCGATGGACAGTAGATGATAAGCCATCTTTCACTTTTTACAATGTTGTCTTCAACGTTATCTACCAAAGCCCAGCTGTGTACAAGCTTTCGGTAAGCCAAGGCCTTTCCCATGACACCATTTCACCCCTGGGTTTCCATCTCATCCCACAAACTCCTCAGGAAAAGCAGCAGGGAGAGAAGGCAGAGTTGAGTTGAGGTTTTCACTGTGCTCGTCTGCTGTTTCTCACGGAGCTGCTCTTGCAAATGCAAATAGTTTCTTCTACCCCTACATTGCTGTGCTGTGTTCCTCCTCTGTGCTTTCTCCTCTTTTCTCCAAGCTCCCTTTCTGTTCGTGGAGTGTTTGTGTTTCCCCCTCCTCCCCAGCAGGAATTAGCAGGGAGCCTCTGCTCTGGCAGGCAGGAAATCTGGATTCAGAGCCTGGCAGAGGCAGGATGCATCATAAGACTTCCATAGGCAGGCCAAAGCTTCTCCCACCAGCTCCTGTGTCCTCTGCCCTGCTCTCTTTCTCCTGGTGCAGACTGGAGTGCTGGGTTTTGCCCTGAAGGATGGAGCAGAGTCTGGGCCAGGAGAGCTGTCTGCTGTGGAGCAGGAGCTGATCTCTGGCCAGCACATCCTTGTGTGTCATGCCCTGCAGAGCCTGCTCTGCTCCAGGGTGCTGGATCTGCTCTCAGGGTTTCTCTTGGCCTCCTGAGCAGACAGCAGCCCAGCCCTGAGGTCGTGCTTACACTAATTTGCTGGGTGCAGCACTAATTTGCTGAGTGCAGCACTAATTTGCTGAGTGCAGCACTAATTTGCTGGGTGCAGCACTGTGCTGAGGGCCTGGGCTGCTTTCACTTGCAGAGCTGCCGAGGTGCCATTAGCCTGGGGGGCTCTGGGTTCAGTGCAGCACATCCACAGGAGCCCAGGCACCAGCTGCTCTTCCCTGCTGGGGTAGGAGGTCTGTTCCAGTGGGTTTGAGCCACTCAGCTGAGAGCAGCTCAGCTCTCCTGCAGGTGAGAAGGTGAAGATGCTCTGTCAGTGTTACATGCCTAGAAAATCATGAGGATTCTGCTCTACTTGTGTCATTCTCTTCAGTCCCTTGTGTCCCTTTCCCTCCTCTGCCCAGCCTTGCTGTCCCTCTCTGTGCCCACCACACCAGGATCCTGGAGCTGCACTTGGTGTGCTTGGTTTTATGAGCCTCTCCCCTCCCTCCTCTGCGCTTGAAACCATTTCCTGCCACTCTCCTGAGGAATTTGGGTGTCTCTTGTCCCCTTGGTGGCAGCAGGTACCTGTGCTCAGCAGCTGGAGCTGCAGGGCACATCGGAGCAGGCAAAGGAGCAGCTGGCAAGTTCAGAGCCTCAGGATGAGAAGCTCCTCTCTCTCCTTGTCCTCTTGCTGTAGCACCAGCCCTTCTTGGACTGGCTGCAGTGCTGAACATGTGGCCACTCTCTCTGCCCTGACCTGCTCCCTTGCCCCATGGTGCTTCTTCAGTCCAGCAAAGCCCCGCTCCGAGGGCAGCGAGGGGACCCCAAACCCATTCTTTGTGCCACTGTCCTTCCCAGCTCACCGCCTCCAACCACGTCAGCAACTTCACAGTCAACTACAACGTGACGGTGGAGATGATGAACAGGATGAGGAACCTGAGCGTGGTGGGTGCCCTGCCAGTGGTGCCCCAGAACAGCAGCGTGGAGCTCAGCGCCCGGGTTCACGTGGACTCGGCTGTGGAGGCTCTGTTCCTGTGAGTCCTTTGCTGCCTGCCCAAACTCAGCATCTTTCTGTGCACATCTTGCCTGCACAGTTTCTCCTCCCAGGGCCAGCTGGTCCCTCTCAGCTGCTGTTTAGTTATGTGAAATCTGTGAGTGGGGGTCAGTCACACACCTGTAATTCAGGCTGAAATCCTTTCCATTTAAAGTGTTAGGACACTGCTTTAGTTTGGGTTCTTCCTCTTCCTCCTCTCACCACAGCTGCTGCTTTGATACTTGGCATTCTGCTTCCTGTGTTTTTTTTGGAGAACCCAGCCCTGACCTGAAAGCCAAGCCAGGATTCCTCTGGGATTTCTGGGATTCTCCTGTTGTGCAGAGTAACGTGGTTTGCCTGTTTCTCCAGGTGGGATTTTGGAGATGGTGTCCAGGAGACGTACCTGTTCAAACCTCCCTACAACAAGTCTTTCCTTGTTCCTGATCCCAATGTCCATGAGGTTGTCATTGAGCACAACGTTTCACACATCTACCAAGACCCAGGTATGCTCAACAAGGCTCTTTGGGGAAGAAGGGGCTCAGGCATTTTTGGTCTGAGGGGTGTACAAGGCACCTTCCAAAACAACCAGGGCTTGGAAATCATTGCCTGGTTCCTGAGCAGACAGCTGGAGTGACTGGAAGTCCCCAGCAGTTGCCATCCTCTTTAACCCTGTTTCCCAGGGAAGTTTGGCCACACTGTAAGAAGCAGGTCCACCACACTCAGCCCCTTTTTGGGCAGTCTCAGCAGAAGCACGAGAGGCAGGCAAGCCCCAGGCTGGTGGGAGGGGTGGGCAGCAGGAGGGCTCTGTTCTGTGGGTGAGCAGGAAGAAAATCTTTTATCTCTACCTGTTGGACTGTCTCCTTTCTTGATGCTGGTCCCCATACACATGAGCTGGTGTAATTCCTGCTGCAGGACAGCCCAGAGTGTGCACAGCACAGGAGCAGAGTGTCCCCTGCAGCCCCTGTCACAGCACTGAGAAGCTGTTGACAGGCACATCCTCACCCTGCCCTTGTTCTGCTCTCTCCCAATGCAGGAGAATATGCCCTGATGGTTGTTGTGTCCAACCAGTATGAGAACCTCACCCACGTGAGCCCAGTCCAGGTTCACAGTTACCTGACTGCCGTGAAGGTGGAGGCAGAGGAGGATGTTCTGGTGGTGGGCCGGCCGCTCACCTTCCGAGCCACTGCCCTGCCGTCCCCGTACGGCGTGCTGTACACCTGGGACTTTGGGGACAGCTCCTCCCTGCTCACAGAGCCCCAGCCCACCGCGACCTACAGCTACCGCCGCCGAGGGGTGTACAACGTCACCGTGACAGCCAACAACACCGTGAGCAGCGTGGAGACCGTGGAGTGCTACCAGGTGTTCGAGGAGATAACGGGGCTCCGCGTGTCCGCCGACGAGGCCGCAGAGCAGGGAGCGGCTGTCACCATCAACGCCTCCGTGCACACTGGGGACAGCATCACCTGGATATTCGACATGGGGGACGGGACAGTGCTCAGGAGTCAGGTGCCAGTGGTAGAGCACGTGTACATAAAGGACATCAACTGCACCGTGAACGTGACAGCTGTGAATCCTGTGAACTCTGTCTCCCAGGCGGTTCCTGTCCGGATATTTGTCCTGGAAATACTCAAAATAGAGCCTACTTCTTGCATCCTGGAGCACCCGGACGTGCAGCTCACCGCCTACGTGACGGGGAATCCTGAGGAGTACGTCTTTGACTGGACTTTTGGAGATGGCTCCTCCAATGTCACAGTCAGCGGGGACCCTGTGGTGGTGCACAACTTCACCCGGAGCGGGACATTCCCGCTCACCCTGACCCTCTCCAGCAGCTTTAACAAGGCTAACTACTTCACCAGTGTCTGTGTGGAGCCGGAGATCCTCAACGTCACCCTCCTCCCTTCCAAACGCTTTGTGAGGCTCGGGGAAGAGACCTCCTTCCAGGTGAGTGCCGTGCCTCCCTACCAGTACCGCTACCGCTGGGATTTTGGCAACAACGAGTCCACCAGGTCGAGTGGGACTGAAGTGACCTACACCTACAAGAACACTGGGGTCTTCCTGGTCACAGTGACCGTCTCCAACAACGTCTCTTTCAACAACGACACGGCGTTTGTGGAGGTCCAGGAGCCAGTTGGGGTAGCAAAGATTGAGTATAACGGGACGGATGTTCTGGAGCTGAACCAGATCTACCTGTTCTCTGCCAGCATGAATGGAACCAAAGTGGGTTACTGCTGGGACTTTGGGGATGGCACTGTCCAGCCTGGGCAAGTGGCCACCCACTCCTACAACAGCACGGGCCACTACAGCATTACAGTGATGGGGCAGAACGACGTGAGCTCCAACGAGACCACCATTGATGTCACCGTGAAACGACGGCTCCTTGGCCTGACCGTCAATGCCAGCAGGACAGTGGTGCCACTGAATGGGTCGGTGAGCTTTGTAGCCACCCTGGTGGCTGGCACTGCCATCCGCTACTCGTGGATCCTCTGCGATCGCTGCACTCCCATCCAAGGCTCCTCCACCATTTCCTACACCTTCCGCTCCGTGGGCACGTTCAACGTCATCGTGACGGCCGAGAACAAGATCAGCTCGCTGCAGGACAGCATCTACGTCTACGTCCTGGAGCAGATTGAGGGCCTGCAGGTGGCCAGCACTGACCTGGTGGAGGACATGTATTTCCCAACTAACAAAACACTCCATTTGCAGGCCGTGGTGAGAGAGGGCACAAACATCTCCTACAGCTGGGTGGTCCAAAGGGATGGCAGTGCTGTGCAGACCTTCACTGGGAAAACCTTCCCCTTGAGCATCCTGGAAGCTGGGAACTACACTGTCTACCTGAAGGCCACCAACATGCTGGGCTATGCCACTGCTAACAGGACACTGGAGTTCATTGAAAGCCTTGGTGTCCTAAAGCCCTATGCCTTCCCCAACCCAGCTGCTGTTAACGCCTCTGTGAACATAAGTGCCACCATAACCAGTGGCACTGGTGTCACGTACGTGTGGTACCTGGAGGATGGCTCCTCTCCTGTCACCTCTGAACCCTTTATTATACACTCCTTCCAAAGCCCTGGAATGATTGAGGTCATTGTTGGAGCAGAAAACAAGCTGAATTCAACCAATGCCACTGTTTCTGTGTGTGTGGAGGAGGCCATCGAGGGGCTGAGTATAGGGACAGCAGAGCTGGACTGTAGGTACGTCTCCTCAGGCTCCACGGTGGTCTTTGAGGGGGAGCTGCAGAGGGGGACTGAAGTGACCTGGCTGTGGGAGGTGCCAAATGGCACTCTCAGTGGCCAGTCCGTGGCAGTCACCTTCCCCACGGCAGGGTGGTACACGGTGCATCTGAACGCCTCCAACGACATCAGCTGGGCTCTGGCCAGCAGGAACATCTCGGTGCTGGACAGGATTCAAGGTCTGGAAGTTGTCGCCAGCAAGAAGGTGGTGGAGCCAGGAGAACAGGTCACCTTTGAGATCAGGATGCTGTCAGGTACCTCTGTGAGCTACCTGGTGAGCATTAGTGGGGACTACTCCGTGGTGCTCAACGGCTCCAGGTACAGCCATGAGTTCACCAAGAGCGGCGATTACGTGGTGACCGTGACCGTGCAGAACCAGATCAGCATCGCCCACGCCCAGGTGCTCATCTCTGTCCTGGAGCCCATCCAGGACGTCAGGCTCCTGAACTGCTGCGAGGAGGGCATTCCCACGGGCACGGAGAAGAGCTTCAGTGCCCGCGTGGGCAGCGGCTCCCGCGTGTCCTTCTCCTGGCAGTTCTGCCTGTGGAAGGAGCGAGGCCGGTCCGTGGTTGCTGCGTCAGGAGACAGAGTTTCCTATGCTCCAGAAGCTGCAGGGCTGCTGGAGATCCACCTCACTGCCTTCAATGACTTGGGAAGTGTCAACATCACCAGAACCATCCAGGTGCAGGACCCCATAGTCCAGGTGTCCCTCAGTGCCACCAATGCCTTTGTCAACAGGACGGCGCTGTTCGAAGCCGTGGTGGTGCCCAGCAGCAGGAGCGTTGAGTTCTTGTGGAGCTTTGGGGATGGCTCTTCCACTCAAACCACCAGGACTGCAGTGGCCAACTATTCTTACCTGAGCCCCGGGGATTACCTGGTGGAGGTGAACGCCACCAATCTCATCAGCTTCTTCATAGCCCAGCTCACTGTCACCGTCAAAGTCCTGGAGTGCGAGGAGCCCGAGGTGGAGCTGGCCCTGCCACCGCAGGTGGTTATGAAGAGATCCCAGAGGAACTACCTGGAGGCACAGATTGACCTCCGAGGCTGCATCAAGTACCAGACAGAGCACCTGTGGGAGATCTACCGAGCCCCCAGCTGCATGAACTTGGACGACTCCAGCAGGATCCGGCTGCCGAACGTCGACGTGAACAGGCCCCAGCTGGTTATCCCAAAGCTCGGCCTGGAAGTTGGGAACTACTGTTTCATGTTTATTGTCTCCTTTGGAGACACCCCGCTGTCCAAAAGCATCTTTGCCAATGTGACAGTGATCCCGAGCAAGCTGGTCCCAATCATTGATGGGGGGTCATACCGTGTATGGTCCAACACCCAGGACTTAATCCTGGATGGGGAGAAATCCTACGACCCGAACTTGGACGATGGGGAACAGACCCCGTTGTTGTACGAGTGGTCCTGCACATCCTCCTCCAAGGTAAGAGCAGCCTTGCCCATCCAGAGGGACCATTTGGGAGCTCCAGCTCCACCACAAACATGTCTGGGGTGGAACGGTGTCGAGGGAAGCTTTTGTGAGCATCTTTAACGGAGCTGCTCTGGCAGGAGGGTTGCCAAGGTTCAGCTCCCAGCTCAGGATGATGATACAGAAGTTGGTGTGAGGTATGGTGCAGGGCAGAAGGGCTGGCTCTGGGAGGGAGGCATGGGCATTGCTGCTTCCCTGGCAGTGCCCTCTGCTCCCCGGTGTCAGTGCTGCTGCTTCCATGCACTGGGGGTGTTACGGAGCTGCTGGTGCAGCCTGGGAGCTCAGGGCTCTGGTCCCTCTCCCATTAACAGTTAAATGTCTCTAATGCCATCAGGGGACAAAGTTAGACTTTGGAGAGGTCGAGTGACCACAGCTTGTGCCCACTAGCAGGTCACTGTCCTTGTGCTGCAGTGATCTGACCCTGTGCTGATGGAAGGGCAAGGGAGAGCTGCCTGGCAAATCCCGATGGGAATCCACCTCAGCAGCATTTTTGATGGAATGTGGAACTCTTTTGCTTGTACAATGTCATGTTTTCTAGCTTTGTCTCAAAATGGCAAATTTGAAGTGTGTGGGGATTGGACTTTCTGGTTTAATGTGAGCTTTTTGTGTTGCTTGGCAATGTTTGTAAGGTATTTAATGAAGAATTAATTGCTGTAAACTACAAATATGAAACTCAAATGAAATACAGGAGTATTCCAGCTACTGTTTACTAACCTGAAGAGTAGGATAATGTGTTTTATTGTCCACACACGCCCTGTTTCTCCCACCCCAGTGGTGGCACTGCACAGCAAGCTCTGTGGCAGTGACTCTGTGTGGACCTGAATGTTTTGGCTGTGGACTAACCCGATGTGCACCCTTACCAAGGAGGGTTTGAAAGTTCTTTTCTCCTTGCAAGCAGAGCTCGGCTGCAGGGTGCTCTCTGAATTTCAGTGCCAAGGAAGGAATTGTCACAATTTCCAAAGCTCTATTAGAGGCAGATGTGGAGTACACGTTCGACCTCACCGTCAGGAAGGAAGGGATGAGTCCCGAGGCCACCAACCAAACCGTACGTACCTCACACAGCTGTCACCTTCTCTGCTTGGCACAGCTGCCTCTGAGGCACAGAGTCATGGGGTGGTTGGGGTGGAAGGACCCTAAAGATCATCCAGTGCCACCCCTTGCTGTGGGCAAGGACACCTTCCACTATCTCAGGGTGCTCCAAGCTCTGTTCAGCCTGGCCTTGGACATTTCCAGGGATCCAGGGGCAGCCACAGCCTCTCTGGGCACCTGTGAGGGCCTCCTCACCCTCACAGGGAAGAATTAGTCCATTTCCCAAGGAAATTTCTATCGGAGAAAGGAAACTTCCTTTCCCATTCCTTTACAATCCCAGCTCTTCACATGCCACGGGCTCTGCCCTCTTTTTACCCAGAGAGCTTCCTAAGAGCCAGGGCTCACTTTGACTGTCAACAGTTCCTCTCTTCTCACCTTCCAAGTTCTTTTAGGGGAGGATTTTTGCAGGGCACGTTGTTTATGTCCCACGAATCCCAACGCCGAGCGCGCCCGCACAGTTCCGTCAGGAACATCCGTGGTGGTGCAGCTGGCAACTGGAGATGGGCTGGAAGTGGAAACTCTTACAGCCTGGGTTTGAAACCAGAGCTGTGGGATGAAAAGAAAAAAATGAAATTGATAGTCTTTCAAGGACATTCCGTACTATCTGGTTTCCATGCAGGAGCACAAAACAATGCTCCAGTGTCGCAGGAAATCTGCAGATACTGGCGGGGTGAGCGGGGCTCCGGCGCGGGGCTGGGGAATATTTATCCCCTTTTAAGAGTCTGCCATGTTAAACAATGTCTTCATTACTGTCTTTGAATTCATAACACTAATTATGCCAGGGCAGAGGGCTCAGTCCAGTGCTGGACAAGCCCCTTTCCTCAGGGATTAAAGGAATTTAGGCAGCACAGGAGTCAGAGTTCAGCTGCTGTTGTGTCTGAGCCACCGGTGCCTCTGGAGCTCTGCGAGTGCTCTGCCAGGAAGGTGTGGTGGATGTCTGGAGATGTGCAGTTAGATTCCAGCTGGAAGCCTGGAGCAACGTGCTGCTCCCTGGAAAAGGTGGTTCTTCCATCCCCACCTGGCAGCACAAGCAGGGTTTGCTGGGAGCTCAGCACCAGGGACCAGAGGGACATTTCAGAAGTCATTTATGTTATTAAAAAGTGTAAATAAATAATCCAGAACAACCTAGATCAGCCCAACTTGGCGTTGGGTGGCTCTTGCAAACCACTGGTGGAACTGGGCAGTGTCAGAGCAGAGATGCAGCTTAAATCTGACCCCAAATCCTTTGGGAATCCCTTCCTGCTGTTTCTTAGCACAGACTGGGCTGGTGCAGAGCAGTTCTTCCCTGCAGCACCAGGTGCTGGGGTGTGTCCTTACCTGTTAGGTGTCTGGGTTTTGGTGTCAGACCTTCTGATGGAGCTTCTTGCCTTCCCAGGTGTTCATCAAGAGGGGAGGAGTCCCCATTGTGTCCCTGGAGTGCATTTCCTGCAAGGCTCAGTCTGTCTACGAGGTCAGCAAGAGCTCCTACGTGTACCTGGAGGGCACCTGCCAGAACTGTCACAACGACTCCAAGCTTGGGGTAAAATCACGAGGCTTTGCTTCACCTCTGGGGGGCTCTGGGAGAAGGGGCAGGCAGAGAGGTGGAAAGGGAAGTCCTGGACCTAAATTGCAGTAGAGACAAGGAGGGGAAGCAATGCCTGGCCACAAGCAGGAGCAGGTGGGCCTGGCTGGGTCCTTGTGGGGTCATTCTAAGCCAAAGCCATGAGTGGCCAGGTCTTTCCAAACAAAAATCACTTTTTTTTCCTATAAGAGATAGGTAAAGTGTTTTTTCTCCCTGCTGGTTGGCATTTTGCCCATTATTCTGGTGGTTGAAGCAGAGGTGGTTCAGTCTCTCCTCTTGTGCCTCTTCCCCTGCAGCCTGTGGAGTGAAGCTGCTCTCAGAACTAGAAGTCCTTTTGCTTCCAGCAAGCCCAGCGTGTCCTTGCCTGGCATTTTCTGCCTGGTTATCTCACTGTTTCTCCTGTTATCACAATTGTAGGTTTGTGCTATTAACAGTAACCACCCAGGCCATGTTCAGCTTGAAGCACATAAAACACGGTATCCCGTGGAGACTCCACCAGTCCTTCATTTATTTCCTGTGTTTTGTACTCTGTATTATGAAATATTCTGTTGGAGGGTGATGTAATTCCAGAAACTAAAGTAGATCTCACAGTGGAAATATTCCCACCAGACATTTTGGAAAGGTTCCAGTTCTTGTTGCTGTAGCACACAAGACTAAAGCTGAATTATCAACTGCAAATTTGGCAGACGCTCCCACTAGAAATCTGTTACTTTTTATAAAAGACTCAATCTGAAAACATTTTAAGGACATAACTTCAGCTTCAAACCAAACCTGTCGTGTCTTTCCTCCCTGCAGAGGTGGGCAGCTCACAGCTTTAACAACAAGTCCCTGGTCCTGGACAGAAGCACCACGTCCACCGGCGACACGGGGATGAACCTGGTGCTGAGGCCAGGAGCCCTGAGGGATGGCGAGGGCTACACCTTCACCCTGCACATCACAGACCTGACCACGGGCGAGGAGGGCTTTGCCTCCATCGACCTGCTGCCCAACCAGCCCCCCGTGGGGGGGTCCTGCCGCCTGTCCCCCGAGGGACCCCTCAGGGCGCTGGAGACCAAGGTGCACTTCGAGTGTGCAGGTGAGAGCGCCTGCCAGCCCCCCTGCTCCTCATCACAGAGCTTCCCTTCTCCCCAAACTCCTGCCCCGGGGTGCTGCTGGCCAGGGCTGGGCTCAGCAGCGCTTTGGACCACGAGCAGCTTTGCGTGCCCGAATTGTGGAGCTCCCGAACTCCCCGGAGCGGGCAGGCAGTTTAAAAATTCCTAACTCGTGTAGGTGAGTGGTGATATCCGGGCCAGGCCACTTCTTGTGGAAGGGAGTGGGTATTTCAGTGCGGGAAAAAGAAGATGGTGCCCAAAACTGAGTCACAGTATGTGGGAAGAATCAAAAGACAGAGCAGTGGGGCCGTGTCTGCTGTGTGGGCTGGATGTTCCCACCAGAGCCACCTTCCCAACCAGCTGCAGAGACAGCAGCAGTGAGCCCAGCTTTGGAAAAGTGGCCTGGCCGGTGTCCCGTAGCCTTGGGCCAAGGACTAAGTGCCTCTGGAAACCAGATTTCCCCAAATGATCAGTGGTAGAGATTAGAGCTGTTTGTGCACAGTGCCGGGAAGCCACGCTGGGAGGGGATGAGCCCTGCTGCTTCCAGGGGGAGCAGCAGAAACGTGTTCAGGGTCATGGGGGTCTGACTTTGGTGTGTTTTGAGCTATCCAGAATAATGCTGGAATCAATTCCTCTTTGGAGTGGTGAGAATTTCAGCCCTTAGTGGTTGTTTGTAAGCTGAAGTGACAGACACAGTGGCAGTGCCAGCACCTTCACTGGGGCTCACTGGCAAACACACAGTGAATTTCCCAAATGCCCAGCTCCCATGAAACTCCCAATAATTCCTGGCAGCTCCAGGGAAATCTTTGTGCAGGCTTTATCCTGGACCCAGCTGTTTCTGAGATGCTGAACTGCCAGAGGCTGGACCTCTGTCTAAAGTCAGGCTTTGCAGGGCTTTTACAGAAACTGGCTTTTGTCAGTGCTGTTCCCACTCCCAGCAGAGTTATTCCCCCTTTTTATTTTGATCATGAATTTTTCATAATCCCTTTAAATGTTACAGAGCCCAAACCCCCGAGGAGAAACCCCTAAATATCACAAAAATTCAGAGGTAACGAAGGCACCCATCCAGCCTGATGGGAGTCCTTGAGCTGTCCTCATTCTGGGGACAGTCTGCCAGAGCAGGGGACCCTGGCTGGGACAGCAGGTCCATCAGAGGATCCTGGAATGGTTTAGAGCGATCTTCAAAACCCATCTTACCCCTTGCCAGGACACCTCCCACTAGTCCAGGTGGCTCCAAACCCCGTTGGTGCTGCAGGGCTGAGCAGGATGGACCTCCCCAGGGCAGGGCAGGGGCAGGGGCAGTGCCAGCTCCTCTGGGGCAATGTCAGAGCTCTGTGGGCTCTCCTTGCAGGCTGGCGGGACACGGAGGACGCGGAGGGGCCGCTGGTGTTCATCCTGCTGGCCTCGCGCCGCCGGCCCGGCCACTTCCACGAGTTCTGCGTGTACAAGGGCAGCCGCGCCGAGCACGGCGCCTTCCTGCCCCCCGGCTTCCGCGAGAGCGGCTTCCAGGTGTCCGTGGCCGTGCTGGTGCAGGACCAGCTGGGAGCCACCGTGGTGGCCGTCAACCGGTAAGAGGCTGCTGGGCTGGCCCCCGGTGCCCAGGCTCGGCTCCCCTCAGGTCCCTGTGCCGGTTTTGGGTGTAGAGATGGGCTCCTGGAAGGGGCTGTTGGCAGGAAAGGGAGGGGAGGCTCAGCAGAAGGGCACGCAGAGAGATCCAGGTTTTGTGGATGGTTGCTTGGTGGGGAGGTTTTCCCAGGAGTTCACTGCTTTCGTAGAATCGTGGAATTGTTAGGTGGGAAAATCACAGAGTCCCAAGGCTGGGCTAGTGAGGAGCCAGGCTGCAGGTCTGGGGTGTTTCTCGTGCAAATGGGGCACCAGAGCAGCAGCAGCAGTGCTGCCTCTGTGGGTCACCCACCTGCATCCCCTCCTGTCCCTTCCCAGCCCAGCCTGCACTTCACCCAGATCCCTCTTTCCTTGCAGCTCCATGGAAATCGGCCTCCCCGAGGGCTTCCCCAGCCTCTCCCACTGGCTCTACAATCAGACTGACACCGTGCTCCAGGGCTTGGTGAAACAAGGGGACCCTCAGCAGGTCATTGAGTACTCCCTGGCCCTCATCACCATCCTAAATGAGGTAACACAGCTCCTTCTGCCCAAGCGGGGCCTCCAGAAGTCCTTGCAATCACCAGGAGAATTTTTGGGCCAGATTTTGTATGATGATCTCTGTAGGCAGGGCAGGAATTTGGGGCTATATTCCTGCTTCCCTGCCCAGGAAGAGACTGCTGCACACCTGGAAGGCAGGCAGGGATGATCCCCTTGGGCACAGGCACCCTGCTTAGCAGGATAAGGACTGCACTCCAGGTACTAGTTAGCTGCTGAGTGCCAGGCTGTTAGGATAATTGCTTGGAGAGCAGAAGTGACACTGAGGAAGTTCTGCTGGAAAACCAGCTCATTAGATCCCTCTGGGGAGGAGCAGAGGCAGGAGATGGCGAGTGCAGGGAGCAGATGACTCCAGCTCAGCTCAGCAGCCTCTGAAGCAGCTCCTGACCGTGTTACTCTCACTGCACCTTCCTGAGCTGCTGCTGTTGTGTTCTCCTCCCCAGTACGAGCGCTCCGTGCTGCTGGAGCCCGAGGCTGGCCAGGAGCTGGAGCTCCGCACCCGGACCCGCAACAACATCACGGAGACGCTGAACTCGCTGAAGGTGAACACGGTGGATGACATCCAGCAGATCTCAGCTGCCCTGGCCCAGTGCACGGTACGGCCCGGCCCCTCCTCAGCCTGCAGCTCCTCGCTCACCGCGCTCTCTGCACGCACACGGGGCTGCAGTGTCACTGTCCTCCCCCTCAGGGCTCCTGTGCTGACGTGCTGGGTGCTGCCAGCTCTGCATCTGGCAGCTCTGTGCTGCTCCTCTGCTTGGCAGCTGCAGGAGAGGCCTCCACGGGCTGGAGAATTGGAGAACCGTGGAATGGTTTGGGTTGGAAAGGATCTTAAAGCCCATCCAGTGCCACCTCCTGCCATGGGCAGGGACACCTCCCACTGTCCCAGGCTGCTCCCAGCCCCAGTGTCCAACCTGGCCTGGGACACTGCCAGGGATCCAGGGGCAGCCACAGATTCTCTGGGAATCTGTGCCAGGGCCTGCCCACCCTCTCAGGGAGCAATTCCTTCCCAATATCCAATTTAATCCACCTTCTTTCAGCTTAGAGCCATTCCCCATTGTCCTGGCCTTCCATCCCTTGTTCCCCGTCCCTCTCCAGCTCTCCTGGAGCCTTGAGGCACTGGAAGGGGCTCAGAAGTCTCCTCAGAGCCTTCTCTTTTCCAGGCTAGACACTCCCAGCTCTCCCAGAGCAGGGGGGCTCCAGAAACATTGGAATAAATTGCTGGGGGAGTCACAGAACCTGTGAGGACAGGCTGGGCTCACATCAGGAGAAACACAGGTGGAGCTGCTTTGGGCCAGGGGCCAGTGCCCAGGTCTGATGCTCCTCCCAGCCCTGTTTCTGCCCTACAAGATGAGAAACCCCTCTCTGCCTTGCTCTGCTGCTCTCTGAGATCCTGGCAGTTTGCAGCCCCCATTCCCAGTGCTGGGGCTGGTGCCTGTGGATTTAGGAGGGAAAAAAGCCCAGTTAGGTAATGCACTTGTGCTTTGGTGCTCAGCCAGGCTGCTCTGGCTCCTCCTCCCTCCCTCCCTCCCTAATCTTTATTTTGGGGACTGGTCAGGTTCCTTGGCCCTGGCTGTGCTTCCCCTGCAGCCAGGTCAGTGGTGGGCAGGCACTGCATCCCACCTACAGAGTCCTGAGCTGCTCCCTTCCCTGCTTCTGAGCCTGCAGACCTCAAAAATCCCTTTTTTCTGTTCCCCTCTGCCCAGGGTTTGGGGTTGAGCACTTCCCATTCCATGCTGGAGCAGTTTGTTTCTGTCTCTCCCACCTCCTCCTGCCTCGTGACTTGGTTTTGCTGTGGGAGCTTAGGTCTAGAAATAGAATTTTTATTCCATGGGGAAAGCTGACATTCCAGGATTACTCTGTGCTCTGGGCTGGAATGAAAAGCTTAGGAAAACAGTACTGCAGAAATTCCCAGGTGGCTGAGACAAGTGGAGCTCACAAATTCCTTTCCTGCACAAGTGTCCATCAGGGCTGGTACATCTGTGATTTTACCTACAAGGGAGGGGAAAAATCAGAATTAGTTTCTCCTGGAGGGATAAAAAAAGAATCTTGGACTTTTTGGTTGATTCTCCTCCCTGAGTAGGAGCTGCCCTTGGGTGGTTCCTCCCCATAACCCAGTGTCTTCCCCACCTCCCTGATTCCTGACTCCGACTCACACAGTCTGTCCTGGCTTGTCAGAGCTTACAAATAAAGCAAAAGAGGGGGAATTGGAGACCTGCAGATGCTGTTTTGATTCTTCACCAAAACATATGGTGAATCACGGCTGAATCCTATGATGATTAAAAGAAAAAAGATGAATAAGAGCGAGGAAGGGGGTTGTAACAGCTTCCATGTGTTCCTCAGTCCCTCCCATCCAGCCCTGGAGAGTGCAGGAAGCTCCAGGCCATGGCTGGAACATTCTGTTTCTTGGACACATCTGGGAGCAGAGGGAGGGACATCCATCATGCCTGAGTGGCAGGACTCCTCCCACAGCCTTCAGGAGGATTTGGACACCAAAATGGACTCAGTTGGGGCTGAATCCTGCTTCCATTGGAGGTCGTGGAGGGGATGGAGGAATGCCATCCAGCTCCTCCTGGTTGGTTGCTGTGTGTGGTCCCAGAGGGGAGGTGTGCCTGGTCCTCACGAGTGCACACCAGGGAGCAAGAATTTAGAATCACAGAGTCCTGGAATGACTTGGGTTGGAAGGATCAGGTTGCTCCAAACCCTGTCCAACCTGGCCTCGAACAGTTCCAGGGATGGACCAGCCACAGCTTCTCTGGGCAACAATTTCTTCCCTTTATTCCTCTTCCCAACCCAAAAGCATCCTCTGCCTGCCTGTACACTGGCACTTTGGAATGTCATGGGAGGCAGATGGAAGAGTCTTGGGGCCACCAGCAAGTTGCTGGCCACTGTCAGTGTGGGCAGGGCAGCCTCTGCTGGACCCTCCCAGGGGCACTTCCAGAGGGAAAAAGTCTCCTGAGGACAGAGCCAGCTGGGCTTTCCCTGGGCTGCTCCTGCTCTGTCAGACCCTGGTCCCTTTGCAGGTGGTGAGCAAGGAGCTGGTGTGCAAGTCGTGCCTGACAAGGACCCTGAACAAGCTGGAGACCATGATGACCATTCTGCAAGGGGAGACCACCCAGGGCACGGTGACACCGACCGGCATCGCCGACAACATCCTCAACATCACAGGTGAGCCCTGTGCTCTGGGTGGGGACAGGGGACAGGCTCAGGAGCAAGAGCAGGCTGAGGGGAGCTTTCAGGCTCCCTCCTCTGCCATTTGGGCTTTGCCCCAAATTTTTAGGAAGCTGCATCTGCCATTTGAAGTGTGGCATCCCAGCCCTCTCTCCTCCCTGCGCTTTTCCCAGGGTTGTCCTGGCTTTGGCAGCTGCTCTGTGGACATTTCCATCTGACAGTTGTTAATATAACCCACTAATACTCCTAATAAGCCCACTAATACACCAGGGGATTTTCTTTTTAGTAAACAATGAGTAACAGCTATGGCTTCCAGATGATTGTCTTCCTGGTTGGAGTCCAAGGAGGCTGTCAAACCTCACTGGGGCATCTGGGAGCACTGTGTGGAAATTCCCACCTGGGTGACCTGGGGGGAAGCAGAGACACCTTCTCTGCACTCCTTTCTGAGCGTTGTGCACTTTGTAGTGCAAAAGCTTAGGAACATATGTTTGTTTTATCCATTCCCTCCCTGTTTCCTGAGCTGTGGTTCTCTTCACTACACAGGAGGGAAATCAAGTGTGTGGTGATTAGGTATTCCTCACCAAACCTGGGAGGTGAGAGAGGCTGCAGGAACTGCTGACAGCTTTGCTTTTAGCTCTGGGCTATGAACACTCCAGTGGGGAAGGTCATGTGGAGAAGAGCAGTGAGAAGACAGCAAGGAAAACCTTGTCTGATTGCTTTGGGAAGGTGTCAGGTGTTCTCCTGACTGTAGCACTTACCCAGACTATTTACCACTTCCTCTTTGTTTCTCTCCTGGCAGGTGACCTGATCCACCTTGTCAATACAGTTTCACAAGAATCCAAGCCCCAGGAGCTGCTGGCTGATTCCCACAATTTGCTGCTGGCTCCCAAAGCCTACAACCTGTCTTCCAGCCTGATGCGAATCCTCATGAAATCCCGGGTGCTGAACGAAGAGCCCCTCGAGCTGGTGGGAGGAGAAATTAAGGCCACAGGCAAGAGGTCTGACCCCTTTAACCTGCTCTGCTACGAAAACACACCAAACTGCCAGTTCTCCATCCCCCAGGCCTTCAACTCCACCCTTTCCAACCTGACGGATGTCATCCAAGTCATGTTCCAGGTGGACTCCAATCCCTTCCCTTTTGGCTACATCAGCAACTACACCGTGTCCACCAAGGTGGCCTCCATGGAGTTCCAGACACACAACGGGGTGCAGATCCCCATAGGGAGCCTGGACTCTGAAAAAGCCATCACTGTGATGGTCTCAAACAGCACAGAGCCCGAAAATCTCGTGGCTGGCACTGAAGTCATCGAGGCAAGAACGTCTGTGAACCTGATTGTGATCATGGAGAGCAACAACAGGGAAGCAGGACTGCACTTTCAGCTCACCTACAGAGTCCTCAATGGTAGGGCAGACAAATCCATCTCTTTCTTAGTGGGAGAGGAGGGCTGGATGTGAGGGATACCCAGTTTGGGGTGATATGCTGGGTGGCAGCAGCAGGTTCCACAGTGCATGGTCGAGGTTCTGGCTGTCCTGGACAATCTCCATGTCCAGTGTCATCCTTGCTTGTGGATTCTGGCCCTGAGAAGCCTTTTGCGTTTCCCAGCCCTTCTGTTGAGCCACATTAGCTTCGGAAGGCATTGCCCAGTCCCTCTCCCAGACAGGCCCAATGGTATCCAGTGCTCAGGGATCCTGAGGTGTGCACTGAGGGAGCACAGTCTGGAGAAGCATCTCCCACAGCTCTCTGCATTCCTTCTTCCCTGAGCCCCAGTGCTGACAGCACGCCTGTGGTTGAGCCTGCCAGGGGTTTTTAAAGCCCTTTCTGTTCCTTCCCCTCCCCACAGAGCATTACCTGGCCAGTGAGCCCGAGCCCTTCATCATGGCCTATCTCCATCATGAGCCCGAGCCCAACGAGCACAACTGCTCTGCCTCCAAGAGAATCAGCCTGGACGCCCTGGCTGGAAGTGACCACAAGCTCTACACCTTCTTCACCTCACCCAGGTAAGAGCAGCCTCCCTGGTGGTCCCTGTCAGCCTCAGGCTGTGCTGTGGGTGTGTGTGAGGGGTGCTCAGGTGGTCTGTGGAGCCCCTGAGTACCTGCACAGCCAAAGGGTGTAAATTAAGCCACGTTCACTGGGCTTTTCCTCCTTTCTGAGTGCATCCCTGCCCCTGTGGCTGGAAGCTTTCCATGGGCACACCTCCACCAGAATGGGGCTGGTGTCCCTGCAGGAGGCAGGGGAGTCATCTCCTTGCTCTTTCCCTTCTCCAGAACGGATGACCCCATCCAGAAGTACTACCTGAACATCACCAACCACTTCAGCTGGTCGGCAGTGGAGGTGACCCTGGGGCTGTACACGTCCCTGTGCCAGTACTTCAGCGAGCAGGAGAAGCGCTGGAAGACAGAAGGAATTGTCCCCCTGGAGGAGACCAGGCCAGACCAGGCCGTGTGCTTGACCCAGCACCTCACAGCCTTTGGGGCCAGCCTGTTTGTGCCCCCAAACTCTGTCCAGTTCATCTTTCCTGTGAGTACAGCAAAGCAGAGGCTGTGCAGTGCTGTCACACATAGGACGGGTTGTTGTCACCTGGAGCAAAGCCATAGGCTCCTGTTGGTTTCATGTCCAAGCTGGCACCAGCACAGGCATCTGGGAGCCTTTGGGAGGTGCAGACGGGCACAGCTCAGGGGAAGCTGTGTCCCCTGGCTGGGAATGCTGGCTGGAGACAAACCTTTGCAGATGGCTTTAGTCCTTGGCCCGAACGCCTCAGACTGTGTCTACACAGTGTGTCTACATCTTCGGGAGATGCCAAAGGTTCCTCCCAGCTGTCACCCAGCACTGTTTGATCCCAGGGAGCTGCACCTGCCAGCTGCTCCCTGCTTCCCAGGAGCATCCAGCTCTTCCTGGCTGTGTCCCTGTGACGTGAGCAGGAGCAGGGAGCTCCTGGCAGCTGCTGCTGCCAGCTCTGCGGGGCCACGGCCAGGAAGGAGGCAGGGAATGGGAACGGGATCCTCCTGGCCTTGCCTTTCAACACTTTTCTCTTCTGCAGGCTCCAGGCCCAGGGCTGAACTACATCGTGCTGCTGACGTGTGCTGTGTGCTTTGTCACCTACTCGGTGGCCGCGCTGATCGTGCACAAGCTGGACATGATCGACATGAGCCGCGTGGGGGTGATCCCCTTCTGCGGCAAGAACGGGATGTACAAATACGAGATCCTGGTGAAAACGGGCTGGGGCAGAGGGTCAGGTGAGCCCTCACCCTGCTCCCGTGCCTGGTTCCCACCTGTAGTTCACCTGAGGTCCCACCTCAGCACGTCGCGCTCTGAATGCTCCCCGCAGGGCCCAGAGCTGAGCTGCAGCTTCAGGCCAGGGCTTCCCGCAGCATTCCCAGGTTTTATTGTGTGATGATGGGGCAGGTCAAGAGAATGGTTTGGGTTAGAAGGTTCCTCAAAAAACCTTCTGGTTCCAAACTCCTGACATGGGCCAGGATACCTTCCACTAGCCCAGGCTGCTCCACCCCTGGCTGTTGTGGTGGGACAAGCAATTGCTGCTGGAAGGAGCCACCCAGGAGAGGAATTCCCCCATCCTGCCTTCCTTGCCTGGGCTGTGGTTGCAGAGACAGAGGTTGTTCCTCACTTCTGACCCCCTCCTCCCCAGCTGCCCCTTTGGATGGCTCCTTTTGCTGTCCTGCAGGATCCATCACTTTGTTCTGAATCCTTCCCAGCAGCAGGCAGGCACAAAGTCTGGCTTCTCTTCACGGGCTGGGTTTGTAGATAGAGCTGTCATAGGCTGGGGAACAGCTTCACCTCGGGTGGGCTTCCCTGAGGGAGCCCCTTCCTTCCCTGCAGGCACCACGGCCCACGTGGGCATCGCCCTGTACGGGGTGGACAACAAGAGTGGCCACAGACACCTGGACGGGGACAACGCCTTCCACCGCAACAGCCTGGACGTGTTCCAGATCGCCACGGAGCGCAGCCTGGGCAGCGTCTGGCGCATCCGCATCTGGCACGACAACAAAGGTGGGACAGCGAGGGGCCCGTGGTGACCCCTGGAATGGGGGGACACTGTGGGGGGACTTACAGACCGGCCACGTGCCAGACACAGAGGATGCCACATGCTGTGCGCTGTGACCGTCAGTGTCACCTCAGGGTGATGTGGCCGTGCCACGCTTCCCTCATGGGTCCTGTGCAGTGCCCACCGGTGACAATCGTGTCACTGCCCCACTGACAGTGCTCGTGTGGCCCCTCAGCTTTGCAGGCTCACTCAGGGAATGTGTGCCATGAACTAATTCCTTTGTCCCCCCCTGTGCAGGCCTCAGCCCCTCGTGGTACCTGCAGCACGTCATCGTGCGGGACCTGCAGAGCAGCAAGAGCTACTTCTTCCTGGTGAACGACTGGCTCTCGGTGGAGAGCGAGGACAACGATGGCCTGGTGGAGAGGGAGGTGTTTGCTGCCAGTGAGTGCCCCACATCCCCTGGCTCCTTCTCACCCCTGTGCCTGGGCCCCTCCTTTTCTCCAGGCCTTTCCCAGCTCCCTCAGCCGCTCCTGTGCTCCAGCCCCTTCCCCATCTCTGTTCCCTTCTCCAGACACGCTCCAGCCCCTCCAGCTCTTTCTTCTTGTGGGGTTCCCAGAACTGACCCCAGGATTGGAGGTTCCTCAGCAGTGCCCTGCACAAAGGACAGGCACTGCCCTGGGGTACAAACCAGGTGCCATTGGCCTCTTGCCCACCTGGGCACAGCTGGGCTCACGTTCAGCTCCTGTCCTTGCCAGATCCTTTTCTGCTGGGCAGTTTTTCCAGCCCCTCATCCTCAACCCTGGAGCACTGCATGGCGAGGGACCCTGTGGGTACTCTGGAGTTTCTGGGATGGATGTGGCTGGCTCAGCGGGGTCGTGTCCCTTTGTCCCCAGGTGAGAGCGAGCTGAGGAGCTTCTGGCGGATCTTCGTGGCGGAGCTGCAGCGTGGCTTCTTCGAGAAGCACGTGTGGCTGTCCCTGTGGGACCGCCCGCCCCGCTCCCGCTTCACCCGCGTCCAGAGGGCCACCTGCTGCTGCCTCCTCATCTTCCTCTTCCTCTGCGCCAATGCCGTGTGGTACGGCGTGGTGGGCAGCGTCCACCTCAGGTGTGTTTAGTGTGGTGGGCAGCGTCCACCTCAGGTGTGTTTAGTGTGGTGGGCAGTGTCCACCTCAGGTGTGTGCATGGCAGTGTCCATCTCAGGTGTGTGCATGGTAGTATCCATCTCAGGTGTGTGAAGGGCATGGTGGGCAGTGTCCACCTCAGGTGTGTGCATGGCAGTGTCCATCTCAGGTGTGCCCATGGCATGGTGGGCAGTGTTCATCTCAGGTGTGTTTGGTGTGGTGGGCAGTGTTCATCTCAGGTGTGCCCATGGCGTGGTGGGCAGTGTCCATCTCAGGTGTGCCCATGGCATGGTGGGCAGTGTTCATCTCAGGTGTGTTTGGTGTGATAGGCAGCGTCCATCTCAGGTGTGCCCATGGCGTGGTGGGCAGTGTCCACCTCAGGTGTGTCCCCAGCCAGTCCCACCCTGCTCAGGGCCCTCCTGCCTGTCCCCTTGGGGCAGGACACATCTTCCATCTGCTGGAAGAGCTTCCTTGCTTGTGCCCTGGGTGTGCCCTCCCCATCCTGAGGAGTCTGGGACCAGCACATGGACGATGGATGACCAAAACCAGCCTGATTTTGGTTTTCAGGCCCATTTCCTTCTCTGCACATCTGGAATTCCTGGTTGTGTGCTTTTGTCTCCTGCTTGCTTACCTGGCGACCCCAAATGCTCCTGCTGACACTCTCTGTGGTCCCCTTGCCTCCCTGCAGCAACGTGGCCGTTTCCAGCCTGCTCCCTGTCAGCGTGGACACGGTGGCTGTTGGCCTGGTGTCCAGCCTGGTGGTTTACCCTCTCTACCTGGTCATTCTGTTTCTCTTCCGGATGGCTCGTGGCAAGGTAAGGGTGGGGGATGGTTGCAGGCTGCTCAGGTGGGTGGGTGGCACCAGGTTTGCTTTTGGGATGCAGAATTCTGCCTGTCCTGGGACCCCACTCCTCCAGCTGGGCTCTGCACTTGTCCCCTGTGCTGCACCAGGGCCAGACCCTTCCTTGGCCTCTGCCCCCCTCCCTGAGCTCAGATCACTGCTGGCCTCTGTCAGTGCCCAGGCACCAAAAAGCAGATTTTAGAAGCTGTTTAGGCACTTCCTCCCTCAGGATTTCAGCGTGTGTGACAGGCACCCAAGGCAGGAGCCCAGGAGCTGCTCAGTGGAGCCTCTCTGATGTGTGCCCTGGGCACAGCTCAGCTGAGGCAGCTGGGCAGGGATTAGCTGGGGATTTACCGACTAGTTAAGCACAATTAGCAGCCCCATTAAGTACTGCAGCCAGCTGCTTGGGGACTGATGAGCAGCTAATGTGGCTGATGCTGCTGAGAGCACACAGGAACAGCTTTCAGACTGGGGGCTTGTAGCTGGGACAGCCTGGGTGGCCCTGGCTGTGGCACGTGTGGCTACAGGTGTCTGGGAGGCAGAGGAGGATGGGCAGTGGCTGGTCTCAGTGGCAGTGTCACCTCTGTCCCTCCTGTGTGCCCTGCAGGTCTCCATCAGCCACACAGTGACTCACTCAGACCAGCAGTCCCTGGAGATCGACAACTACCTGGACTCCTCCATCCTTGACAGCTCCTTCCCCACCTTCCCCGGGCTCCAGGCAGAGGTAACTGCTTCCCTCCCCGCAGCTGGGCAGGCTCCTGGAGGTGTGGGCCCGGGGCTAAGAGCAGCTCAGTGACCCCTGATGTTGCCAGCCCCCTGCTCTGAGCAGGCACAGAGCCGTGTCGTGCTCCTGACACTTCCCTGTTCCCCACAGGCCTTCTCTGAGCAAACCAAAACAGATCTGTTCCTGGAGGACTCCAAGAGGTGAGTGGGTTTCTGGAGATGGAGCCAGCTGTGCTTTGCTGGGCTGGGCTTGGCTCCCAGAGCTGTTTCTGCAGTCTGTTTCTCTCCTCCCCTCGTTCCTGATGCCCCCATTCCTGTTTTCCCACAGCCTGGTGCCCTGGCCCTCCAGCGAGGCCCTGCTCAGCTGGCCAGACCTGCTGAGTGACCCCTCCATCATGGGCAACACCATCCAGAAGCTGAAGAGAGGCCGGGCCAGCCGCCACCTGGGGCTGGAGGCCCCGCTGGCCACCGAGGAGGACACCTTGTCCCTTGGCATCCACCAGGGACAGCCCCGCTACTTCTCAGCCTCAGGTGAGCCCCCTGGCTCGGGCTGAGCTGCTGCCATCACCACTGGCTGCGCTCTGGAGGGCAGGGCAGGAGGGTTGGGTCTGCTCAGTGGGGATTTCAGTCTGGAGAAACAGAAATCCTGGTGGGCAGCAGGCTGGGAGCCAGGAGAGGTGTGTTCCCGTGGGAATGCTGCAAGCAACCAGCACTTCCTCACTGGTTTCAAAGCCACAGCCTGTTCCTGAGGCTCTGGAAGTGGCTGGAGAAGGAGAACTTGGCCTTCTGAGCCAGCAGTTCTCTGCCCAGCTCTGTGGCCAAGCTGGGAGAGACAGGGAGCAGGGAGGGCTGTCCCAGGGACAAGGACATCGCTGTGATCCTCCTCCCCAGCTCCCCAGGTGGCTGAGCCATGCCCCAGGGACAAGGACATCGCTGTGATCCTCCTCCCCAGCTCCCCAGGTGGCTGAGCCATGCCTGGCTGGTGCTGGGGGCTGAGCTCCTGCCAACACTGTCTGTGCTCTCTCTTTCCCAGATGAGGATCTGATCCGGCAGATCCTGGCAGATGGAGCCGGCGGCATCTCCCAGGACCTGGGGCCGTACATGAGGGCAGAAACAGATCTGATCTCAGGCCTGTGAGTGTCTGGGGAGCAGAGCCCCACGGGGCCAGAGCTTCCCTCACACCCAGCTGGGCTGAGCTGGCTCTGGGATGCTCTCACGGGTCACTCTGTCCCTGCTGGCCATGACTCCTGCAGCCCCCACAGCCACAGCTCCAGGAGGGCACTGCCACCCTGCCAGGAGCCACCTGGAGCATCCCCTAAAGCCACAGCTGTGTCTCCAGGAGGGCACTGCCACCCTGCCAGGAGCCACCTGGAGCATCCCCTAAAGCCACAGCTGTGTCTCCAGCAGTTTTGGGCAAAGTGCTGGGATGAGGGCTCCCTCCATGATGAGAGGGAGAGGGTGATTCTGCCCAAATCTCTGTAGTGTTACCAAGCCCAGGACACCCTGAGCAGCACCCCCAGGGCTGGCAGCCCACCAGCCACTGCAGAGTGGCCAGCCAAGGGAGGAGAGGGACTGTCCATGAGACACACAGCAGTGTCTGTGCCTTGGGCACTGGTGCTGGCACTGCAGTTCATCCCCCTTGGTGCCAGCCTGCTGAGCACAGGGCCAGCAGTGGCACAGCTCTCAGCAGGCTCCCCCTGTGCCTGGCAGGTCCAGCGTGTTCGGGGAGAAGGTGGAGACTGTCATGATGCACAGGCTGAACGACAAAGGGCAGAGCGTGGCACCTCCTCCCAGGGAAGTGAGCAGATCAGCCAAGTCCACCTGGACAGGTACCAGGGCTGTGCCAGGGGTGTGAGGGGACGGGGCCCATCCCACACTACAGCACCGTGGGGTAAATGGTAAATAAAACAGAAAAGGAGCCTTGGGAAGGGCTGCTCCCTGCCTGGGATATCACTGCTCCTGCCAGCTTCTCTTGGAGCCTGGATCTCAGTAAGGCCTGGGCCAGCACTTGTGCTGTGGCAGTCCCTGCAGTGTCCCCGGGGGAGGCTCTGCTCCCTCCTCCCCCAGTTGCTCTGCTCCCTGCACCCTCTGCAGCCAGCAGTGCTAGAAATGTGTGGGATGGTCCCAGTCTCTCCCAGGGCTGGATGGGTGCTGAGCCCAGCCCCTGCTGTGCCCACGGGGACCTTTGCAGCGATGCTCACACTGCTCCCCCTCGTCCTCCTGCTGCTCCCAGTTGCAGACCAGGCGTTCAGGAAGCGCCTGCTGCCGCCCTGGTGCTCCCTGCTGGCTCATGGCATCAGCCTCCTGCTCCTGGCCGCCGCCGCCGGCGTCTCCGTGTGGATCGGGGTGGGCTTCTCCTCCAGCGTGGCCCTCATGTGGCTCATCTCAGGGATATTCAGCTTTCTGGCATCGTTCCTGGTCTGGGAGCCCCTGAAGGTGAGCGTGGCATGAGTGCAGTGGCACAGACCTGTATGTGAGGTTAACTTGTCCAGCTGCTGGTCACAGCTGTGGAATTGTTAAGGTGGGAAAAGCCCTTTAAAATTATCAAGTCCATCAGGTACCACCCCTGTGTTCTCCACTAAGCCATGTGCCCAGGTGCCACATCCATGTGGGTTTTGAACACTTCCAGCCGTGGTGAATCCACCCCTGCCCTGGGCAGCCCCTTCCTATGCTTGACAACACCTTCCACAAAGAAATCTGGTCAGAGTGGACACTGAATGGTCTCTCCCATCCCCAAATCCCTCAGGAAGGGTAGGATGTGGACACCAGCAGCAGTAGGAGAGGCAGGGCTGGCGGCACTTGGTTTTGAAGGCCCAGGTAGGAGCTGTGCCATGCTAGCTGTGCCAAGGGGCCCGTGGGAGCTGCTGGAAGAACCTTGGCACAGCTCCCTGCAGGCTCAGCACTCTCCCTGTGCCCCAGGTGCTGCTGGAAGCCCTCTATTTCTCCCTGGTTGCCAAGAGGCTGCACCCAGAGGAAGATGACACCTTGGTGGAGCAGCCCTGCGTGGAACACGTGTCCGAGAGGATCAGCAAGGTCCGGCCTCCACAGGGATTTGCCCTCTTCCAGGCCAAGGAGGAGGCCAGGAAGGTCAAACTGCTGCACAGGATGCTCAAGGTGGGACATCTCCTGCTGCCTGGTGCCCAGGGCTCACACACACATCTGAATGTGGGTCCCCCTAGTCTGGCTGGGGTGCCTGAGTGCTTGGCTCCAGCTCTGCCTCAGTTTCTCAGCCTCTGGCTCTGATCCTGTTGCATGGCCATGGAGAGCACTGCTCTGCTGCAGGATTGAGGTCCAGCCCTTCCATGCAATCCCATTTTTACTCTCTGCTTCCCAGAATTTCCTCATCTACATGATGTTCCTGCTGGTGGTCCTGCTCACCAACTACGGCGATGCCTCCCGCACCAGCCGGGCCTTCCTCCTGCAGAGCTCCATCAAACAGCAGCTGGGCAGCAACGACTTCCTGCTCATCAAGAGGTGCCTGCCAGCCCCTGGGGGGGTCAGGGGGGTCGTCTCTTGGGCTTGTGCTCCACAGTCTGTCCAGTGAGAGGTTCCTTGGTGCCCGTGTGGAGCTGGGCACTCCACAGCAGTGAGCAGTCCTGTTTGTGGTTCTGCTGCTCCCCTGGAGAGCAGAGGGGCCTTTGGGGATTGAGAAGTTTAATTTCTCTGAGGTTTAGTGATTTCCCCAGTGGGCAGGGGCTGTGGGAGCTGATGTTGATCTTTCTGGAGCTGCTCTAAAGCACAAGAGTTTCTCTGTCTCCAGATTTTACAGCCCCAAGTTGTAGCCATGAATAAGGTCACGAGAGCCAGAAATGACATCTTGGCCAGAGCCTGCCTTTTCTGCACATGAGTTTAACTGGATTCAATTTTCCCAGCTGATTTTCCACACCCCTGGGGGCTCCCAGCAGCCCAGTCTGGCACTGGGGTCACTGGGCTGAGGGTGTGTCCCTGCAGAGCCCTGGGCTCTCTGTGCCCATCAGTGTGGCTTGTTTGTGCCCCAAAGTCCCCGGAACCTTGAGTCAGCAATCTCACACCTTCCCCCCTGCAGGTCGGATCAGTTCTGGGTGTGGATGTCTCAGGTGTTCCTCCCTTACCTGTACAACAACGGCTCTGGCCAGGAGAGCCACAGCACCACGCTGGGGACAGCGCGGCTGCGCCAGCTCCGCCTGCAGGGAGGTACGAGGCTCAGGGAGGGCAGGGACGGTGGCTCTGCTGTCACAGTGCCAGGTGACACTCCTGGAGGGATTAAACGGGCAGCTCTGGGTGCAGCTGGGGCTCAGGGGAGGCAGCACAGGTTGGGCAGGTCTGCAGAGATGAACTGGAGCGGTGGATCGTGGAATGCTGGAATGGTTTGGGCTGGGAGGGACCTTAAAGTCCATCCAGGGACACTTCCACTTCCTGGCCTTGGACACTTCAAGGGATCCAGGGGCAGCCACAGCTTCTCTGGGCAGCCTCCCCTTGCTCACAGGGAAGGATTCCTTCCCAATATCCCATCTAAGCCTGCCCTCTGGCAGTTTGAAGCCAGGGATGTATCCAGGGACTGGAGTGCAGGTCCCCAGTTACCCAAGGCAGTTGGGATGTCTCTGTTCTCCTCCACTTGTACCCAGCTAATCCACTCTAATCTGGAGGCGTGGCTGTATCATGACTCCTAAATTGGACAGCTATTTTTATTATTAACATCCATCCTTTCCTGAATCCCTGACTTGTGCATGCCCATTCCCTCACCCTGGTGCACTGGTGGGGATGAGTGTGGAGGGGCTGGGAGGGAAGGTGAGCTCTGTGCTGGCTGTGCTGAGCTCACAGGGTGGTCTCATTGCAGCTGAGTGCCAGCAGAGTGCCCAGGACATCCTGCAGGGCATGGGCAGTGCCCAGAGGAGCTGCACTGACCAGCACAGCTTTGCCACTGCTGACTATGGAGTGGGCTGGGAGAGCACAGCCAGGAACGGGACGGCGGCGTGGGCACACTCAGCACCCGACCTGGCAGGGTAAGGGCTGCCCTGCCTGCTCCCACCCCTGCTCCCACCCCTGCTCCTCCTCCAGGGACCCTTACAGACCTCTCCAAGGTCTTTTCAGGTGTCCTGGGTTGTTCCCAGCCCTCACCTCAGCCCCTGAGCCTGGCAAAGGGAGGATGGACATGGCAATTCCAAATGGCCTGAGCAGCAGCGCCGTGCTGTTCTGGGGGCCAGGGACTGGGGTTCAACTCTGCTCCTTCCAGGGCACACAGGGCAGGGGAGCCCAGCACCCCAGATTTCTGCTCAAGGGGTGACAGCAGGTTGTCCTGCACCCTGGGCAGGACATAATCACACTTGGTTTCTTCTCTGGTGTGTCCCCAGAGGCATCATCTCCACGCAAGTGTGGGCCACCACAGGGTTGGGAGCACTGAGGTGGATCAATGCACCCCTGTAATCTGTCCTGTGAAATAAATCCTGAGGGGTAGGATCTGCATCTGCACACGGGATCCTGGCCTGCCACACAGGAGAGCAGCCAGTGTCCTTCAGCCTCGCCCACGGCTCCTCTTCCTCTGCAGGATCTGGTACTGGGGCTACATCTCCTTCTACGACAGCAGTGGCTATGTGCAGGAGCTGGGCCCTTCCCTGGAGGAGAGCCAGGCTCAGCTGGAGTTCCTGCAGCAGCACACCTGGATCGACAACATGTGAGTGTGGCAGGCCAGGGGGACTGTCCTGCTGTCACCTGGGCCCCTCAGCAGTGCTGCTGCAGTGTCACAGGGGCACAGCATCCATGTCCCACCCAGCAGTGGCCCCGGAGCCGGTGCTGTCCCAGCCCCTGAGCTGCTGCTGTCCCCCTGCAGGAGCCGGGCAGTGTTTGTGGAGCTGCTGCAGTACAACCCCAGCGTGGACCTGCACGTGGCCCTCACCCTGCGCCTGGAGTTCCCTGGGGCTGGCCAGGCCATCGCTGCTGTCACCATCAGCCCCTTCCCCCTGCTGCGGCTCAGCGGGGGCGTCACCCTGCAGCTCCTGATGATGGTCAGTGTGAACCTCCCCTGCACCCCCTGCCCTCTGCTGGGGGGCTCTGGGGACCCTCACCCAGGCTGGTCACTGTGGACTCCAGCTGCTGTGCCTGAGGCCACTTGTCCCCACATCTGTCACCCTGCCTGGGTGTGGTGTCAGCAGAGCCCTCATCCCCTGGGCACTGCCACCCTGCCACAGGGGCACTGGGTGTGGGCACTGGGGGCCTTCAGGAGGGGTTGGGGGCTGCGTGAGCAAGGAGGGCAGGGCAGGATGCAGGGGGTGCTCCAGGTGTGCAGTGGTGGAACTTGGCCTGGTTTGGGGGGGTTTTGCTGTCCTGGGGTGCTGCAGGGTCCCCACGTGCAGCACAGCAGTCAGGGCTTGTCCTTTCATCTCCTGGTAACTCCTCCATTCCTCCTCTCCTGGTAACATCTCCATCACCTCTCCTGGTGTCCTGTCTGTTCCTCCCCAGGTGTTCCTCATGCTGTTTGTGGTTTACTTTGTGGTGTCAGAGTCTCTGGCCATCAAGAAGGAAGGCAGAGCCTACTTCACCCTGTGGGGCAACTACAGCCAGTGGCTTTTCATCCTGCTCACCACGTGCACCGTGCTGGTGCACCTCAGCCAGGCCACCCTGGCTGACCAGCAGTGGCTCAGGTACCTCAGCAATCGCAGGGGCTTCACCAACTTCTACCAGGTGGCCTTCCTGAGCTCTGTCTTCAGCAGCCTGGCCGCGTCCCTCCTCTTCCTCCTGACCGTGCAGGTATGGTGGGCTGGGGGAGCAGCACGTGGGTGCTGGGTGCTTTGGCCCTGCTGTGCTGGTCACCCCTGCACAGCCCTGCCAGGGGAGGGGGTGGCAGGGAGGCCACCTGTGTCCCTGCTGGGCACTTTGGGTCTCTGAGGCCTCTGGACCGTGATTCCCTTGGGGAATTCAGTTAGATGGTTCTGTCTGGAAGGAACCTGCAGGCTAGGGTGTTTGTGCTCTGCTGGGGTTTGGGTTTCTCATGTGTTTGAGAGGCCCATCCTGGGCTGGGGGTGTGTCTGTAACTCCCTCCTCTCCCCTCCCAGGCTGCCCAGCAGCTGCGCTTTGTCCGGCAGTGGTCAGTGTTTGGAAAGACCTTCCAGAAGTCCATGAAGGAGCTGCTGGCTGCAGGGGTGGCCTTTGCCCTCCTCCTCCTGGCCTACGCCCAGCTCGGCTTCCTGGTAAGCACCCCTGTCCCCCTCCCTGACAGAGGGGCTGCTGGTGGTCCTGCTGCCCCTTTTCCCTCACCCTGGCATGACATGAGCAAAGCCCCTGTGTCCCCTGGGCACTCTGTGCCCATCCTGCCACCGGCACCTTTGGCCAGGGGCTCTCCCTGTCCCAGCCCATTTGTGGGCCATCCCTCAGGGCCCTTGTGGGAGGGGATATTGAGGGTCAGGGCAACACTCTGCTGCTGCTCCCATCTCACACATCTCCTCTGTCCCTCCTCAGCTCTTCTCCTCCTCCTCCGAGTCCTTCCGCAGCGTGGGCAGCAGCCTCCTGCTGCTGCTGGCCCTCCTGCGGGGCAGCGCCAGCCTCCGGCCCTGCCTGCCCGAGGCCTCGGGGCTCTACTGCCTCTTCTGCACCTCCTACGTGGTGCTGGAGGCGTGGATCGTGCTGCGGCTGCTGGCGGTGGTGCTGGTGCACAGCTACCGCGAGATGCACTTCGAGCTCTACCGGCCCGCCTTCGAGCCGCAGGACTACGAGATGGTCGAGCTGTTCGTGCGCAGGCTCAAGATGTGGATGGGCTTCAGCAAAGCCAAGGAGGTGAGGCCAGCCTGGGGGCTCTGTGAAGGGCACAAAGCATCACCCACCATCCTTAGCCTTTCCCTGCCTCTGGCTGCTTCCTGGCCAGTGAGGGCTGGAGCTGTGACCACCTCTGGGAGCCCAAGAGAGATGGGGAGCTGTACGGGCATCAGCTGCCCATTCTCAGTCCCCTGTGGCTTTATCTGGGATCCAGCCCATGCCCGCCCCATACCAGGAATGGCTGGGAGCAGCTGTGGAGCTGTTTGGAGTGGTCCCCCTTCCCAGCTCCTGCCCTAACCCTGCCCTTTTCTCCTCTTCCCTCCCAGTTCCGGCACAAGGTGAGGTTCGAGGGGATGGAGCCGCTGCCCTCCCGAGACTCCAGCGACTCCAAGTCCTTCCGTGGCCCCACTCCCAGCGCCGCCTCCGACAGCTCCAGGACCTCCACGTCCTCCAGCCAGCTGGACGGGCTGAGCCTCGTGCTGAGCGCCCGCGACAGCCTGGAGGTGGACGCTGACATCCAGCGCCTCCTCTCGCTCTTCGAGATGCTGCTGGCGCAGTTCGACCGCGTCAACCAGGTGACGGAGGACGTGTCCCGCATCGAGCACCTGCTCGAGTTCTCCCGCAGCCGCCGCGCCCGCCGGAGGCACCGCGGGCCCGAGGGGAGCCCGGGCAGCTCGGAGCAGGGCCCGTCCCTGGAGGTGCCGGACACGGAGCCGCTGTCCCCGCGCTGTGCCGGGGCCGTGCCCGTGCCCGGCCGGCTGCTGCGGGCCAGCCGCGGGGTCAGCGCGGCCGCGGGGACAGCGGGCAAGGCCTGTGCGGCCAGGAGGAAACGGCCCCTGCGGGCCAAGAACCGGGTGCACCCCACGGTCAAGTAACGGGGCTGCGGGAGCGATGCCCTGGCAGGGCTTTGTTGGGTGGGCTGTGCCCGCCCGGAGCTGCCGCGGCGGCTGGGCCGGCCGGGCACAGGGGCGCTCCGGCCACGCCGCTGGCACGGCCACCGGCCCTCCAGAAGTGGCCCCATGGGAGCGTTCCAGGGGTAAAGGTGGAAGGGGAGAAGGCCGAGCCTTTCCCCGGGGCATGAGCAGGTGCAGGAGATGCCTGCGGGCTCACAGGGAGCAGCTGGGGCTGTTCAAGGGCCCCGGCTGCAACCGGCCACAGGTGGGACTGGGGTGGGCACAGGGGGACGGGACAAAGCTCCCCCCTTCCCTGCTGGCTGTGCCGGGTGGGAAAGGGAAAGGAGAGCCCCAGGCCTTGAAGGTTTGAACCAAGTCTTGGAGTTTTGTTGACCAGACGCACTGTGGAGGAAAGCGACAGCTTTCGAGAAGGTATTTAACCCACCTTGTTTTTTAAGCATAAATAGATATATAGAGAAATGCTATCTACACCCAGAGCAGTTAATTTCCAGTATTGGCTACTTTTATCCTCCAGAAATTGGTACTATTATTTGTATTTAAAGAAATCCAATATTTAAAACAAAGGACATTGCAGCGAGCTGGGGACGAGAGACCCCTGGGCTGCCTCAGCCACCTCCCAGCGTGGGGTTCCCAAACTCCCAGCGTGGGGTTCCCAAACTCCCAGTGTGGGGTTCCCAACGTGCTGGTGTCACTGCGGTCCCCACCTGCCCTGTCCCCCCGCCGTGGCCCCGGGGTGCAGGCGCCGCTGGCTGCTTGGCTTCTCTAACCCAAGGAATGTATTGCCCTAAGTATATGTATTTTTTTTTTTTTTTTGTTTACTTGTTCCTATGTACTGCCCAGCACTTTAAACAAGGCTTTCCTCGGCTACCAGTGACACGTGCGAGCTAAGAATGGGATAATATATCACAAAAGCAGTATTTTGTTTGTTTAAATCATAAACTGAAATGGGCAGGGAGGAGGGGAGCGCAGCCCCAGCTCAGGCAGCAGTGCCAGCGCCTTCCCTGAGCACGAAGGAGGCAGGTGAAGCCCTGAGGGAGCTTTTTTTGGGGTCCCTCCAGCCCTGCCAGCTGGGATTCACCATGTGCTGGGCTGCAGCTGCTGGGCTACAGCTGGCCTGTGCCATGGGGCCCCCCCAGATCACAGCCTGGGGGTGCCTGAAGCCCCCCCAGGGGCTGCCTTCCTCTCCTCAGCCCCATTTCACCTTATGGCTATTGTAAGTAATTTATACGGGGTTTGTTTGGTTTTTAAATGTATATATTTTTGTATGTTTGCTATATTTTCATAGCATCGGTACCGTGTTTGAAACATGTAGATAGGAGACAGAACACTATTGTCAGAGTTATTTAAAGGATGTATTAAGTGCTTCTTCCTGGGAATGTCCCGTGTATATAAGGATTGGGTGTCTGTGTGTGTGTGGTGCGTGTGCTCTCCTGGGCTGGCTCGGGGCCACAGGTGGATGGGGAAGAGCCCTCCGTGAGTTCCAGAACCTGCTCCATGCTTTGGACAGGTGAGAGGGTGGAAGGGAAGGCTGAGGGGGCAGAGCTGCAGGGCAGGGAGGCTTTTCCAGGTGGAGAGAGGGGGCTCCTAAAGCACTTCCATTGCTCCATCCCCTCCTGAGCCTCCCCTCCATCCCCCGGCTGTGTTGGATACTTGTGAAGATTTCACTCCAGCATCCGTGTGCTCCTTTGGCCATGTGAGTCAGGCTGGCTGCAGGGGGACACTGGCTGCTCTGGGGTGCCTTTGGGACAGGTCTAAGGTACCTTGGGAAAACTCAGGTGCTGTGCAGGACAGATGTTGTGGAAAGGTTGCAGAGGGCTGAGGGCAGGAGAAGACAAGGGAGGGGTTCCCAACGTGCTGGTGTCACTGCGGTCCCCACCTGCCCTGTCCCCCCGCCGTGGCCCCGGGGTGCAGGCGCCGCTGGCTGCTTGGCTTCTCTAACCCAAGGAATGTATTGCCCTAAGTATATGTATTTTTTTTTTTTTTTGTTTACTTGTTCCTATGTACTGCCCAGCACTTTAAACAAGGCTTTCCTCGGCTACCAGTGACACGTGCGAGCTAAGAATGGGATAATATATCACAAAAGCAGTATTTTGTTTGTTTAAATCATAAACTGAAATGGGCAGGGAGGAGGGGAGCGCAGCCCCAGCTCAGGCAGCAGTGCCAGCGCCTTCCCTGAGCACGAAGGAGGCAGGTGAAGCCCTGAGGGAGCTTTTTTTGGGGTCCCTCCAGCCCTGCCAGCTGGGATTCACCATGTGCTGGGCTGCAGCTGCTGGGCTACAGCTGGCCTGTGCCATGGGGCCCCCCCAGATCACAGCCTGGGGGTGCCTGAAGCCCCCCCAGGGGCTGCCTTCCTCTCCTCAGCCCCATTTCACCTTATGGCTATTGTAAGTAATTTATACGGGGTTTGTTTGGTTTTTAAATGTATATATTTTTGTATGTTTGCTATATTTTCATAGCATCGGTACCGTGTTTGAAACATGTAGATAGGAGACAGAACACTATTGTCAGAGTTATTTAAAGGATGTATTAAGTGCTTCTTCCTGGGAATGTCCCGTGTATATAAGGATTGGGTGTCTGTGTGTGTGTGGTGCGTGTGCTCTCCTGGGCTGGCTCGGGGCCACAGGTGGATGGGGAAGAGCCCTCCGTGAGTTCCAGAACCTGCTCCATGCTTTGGACAGGTGAGAGGGTGGAAGGGAAGGCTGAGGGGGCAGAGCTGCAGGGCAGGGAGGCTTTTCCAGGTGGAGAGAGGGGGCTCCTAAAGCACTTCCATTGCTCCATCCCCTCCTGAGCCTCCCCTCCATCCCCCGGCTGTGTTGGATACTTGTGAAGATTTCACTCCAGCATCCGTGTGCTCCTTTGGCCATGTGAGTCAGGCTGGCTGCAGGGGGACACTGGCTGCTCTGGGGTGCCTTTGGGACAGGTCTAAGGTACCTTGGGAAAACTCAGGTGCTGTGCAGGACAGATGTTGTGGAAAGGTTGCAGAGGGCTGAGGGCAGGAGAAGACAAGGGAGGTGGTGCTTGGTCAGCATGGAGGAGTTGGAAGAGCAGAGGGCGCAGAGGAGTGGAGTGCACAGGGGAGAAATGCAATCCTGGTAACCAGGACAGGGGGGGAGAGGGCAGAGAGGGGCCCAGAGGGCAGGAGTGGGACAGGGAGGTGCCTGCAGCAGGCAGAGCCCACAGCTGGAGGCTGAGCTGGAGCTGGGACCAGGTGCTGGTCAGCTCTGTGCTCAGAAAAAAACCCTGGATTCCAAGCCAGAGATAGAAAGCTGTTTGCCTTGGATTTTTGTTTAACTTCCCAGGCAGCACAGCACCAGGCTCAGCTCTGGCACGTTTCCATGACTCCTTTTTGGTGACAGTGCCATGTTCCCAAGGCCAGGCAGTAAGAGGAGCAGTGGTGAGGTGTCCCAGAGAGCTGGGATGTCCCCAGGGCCCAGGGCTGGAGTCCCTCCAGCTCCAAAGCTCCTTTCCCCACACACCTGCCCTGGCACAACCCATCTCACCTGTGTGGAGCACCAAGGGTGTAGATCCAGCCACTCCAAGGGCTGTCTGGGAATATTCAATGATTGAAAGGTCCCAAATAAACCAAGCAGGTCTTGGAAGTCTCTTGAAGAGCCAAAAAGTTCAGTTCCTGATGGTCAGTTCTCAGCTCGAGTATCCTTAGAGGAGGTTGGGAGTAGGAGGGAAGCAGGGGCCAGCAGGGCCCCAGATGTTTTTGAGCAGCCATTCCTAAGCTAAGGGGCAGCTGGAACAAAGATGCTCCCCAAATCCATCTGGATTTTTGTTCCCAAGTGCCTGTTCCTTGCCCTGCGTGCGTGTGTGTGTGAGTGTGACTCGGCGTGTGTGACTTTTCCAAGTGCTCCTGCTGATGCCAGAGGAGCAGAAACGGGATCAGACAACTGCCCTACTTCCCTGAAGTACGGAGAGCAGCTCTGCCCCCCACAGTCCCTTGAAAAGCCCAGCCCTGCGTGGTGGGCAGCACCCACAGCTTCCAGCACTCCCAGTTCTCCGTGCAGCAGCTCCTGTGCCAGCTCCAGCAGTGTCCCAGGGTCCCCTCCTTGCCCCAGCTAGAGGGATTCAGTCATGGACTTACACCCTCACAGCAATAAACTTGACTCAAAGCCCATAAATCCCCCTGAATGTATATTTTTGTGTCTGTAGTCACCGAGAGATGGTGTCTTATTTATTGCCTTGAATCTCACAGTGATGTATCAGGATCAAGCTGCTTAAGTGAAAAATGAGACCCCCATGCATTCGTTCCAAGGGAGAGGGAGGGACTTCTGTAAGTGCCTTATTTTTTCTAATTTTTGGGGTTTTTTTTTAAAGAACAATGATTGTGACCAAAATGCCAACAGTTCCTGTCTGGTCAGCATTTCACTGCAAACAAAAATGGTATTTTGTAACTGTGGGGATGTTTCTTACAAAGTGACAAAGTCAAATAAACACTTGACTGCTAAAACCTGGCTCAGGTGGTTTTGTCCTGCTCCAGATGCTCCTCTCCACCCCACCCTCATTTCTCTCTGCAGCCATAATTTTAATTAAGGTCTCCTGCACAGCACAAGACACTTCCTAAGATCCTTCAGCCTATCAGAGCTGGTGTTAATGAATGAGCTCACCTGTGGTCACTGGGGGTGGCACAAGGACAAAGATGGCAAAGTCCCCTCCCCAGCACAGAGGGAATATCCCAGTCCAGGACTGGAACACAGCCAGGAATCTGTGTGTCCAGCACTGGGAGGAGTGGGGCTTCCATCAGCAACCCAGGCTGGGAAACTAAACCAGGCTAGGAGGAAGGATTCATATTGAACTTTCCCAGGACATCAAGACCACACTGATCAGACAAATATTTTATTTCCTTTATGACTCAAACACAACAGACACTTGGTGTTCCCACACACCTGCACAGGCGAGGGCTGTCCCTTTGTCCCCTCACCTGTCCCTTCACAGTCCCACATTGTGCACATTGCACTTGTCTTCATCTCCCTGCTGGCAGCCATTCCCAAAGCCACGCTTCCCACTCATGGACCAAGCAGGAGATGAAGTTCTCACAGTATAGTCCAGCTTATGAGGTGCCTCCCAGTTGGGTGCTGTAGTGTCTGGTGCCCTCCTTGCCTCAGGATGGGCTGCAAGTCCCATTCCAACTGTGCCCACCTACCCTGGAAGCTCCAACTGAGCTGCTTCAGTCTCCCCTGAGAGCCCCCCTGTCAGGGAATAAGCAAAACTCATGGGGAGATGATGCCCCAAGACTTGTCAGCTGTCAAAAAAGGATTTATCAGGTGCATGGGGAAGGGTGAGACACCCCAGCATTCCTGCAACCAGGAAAGTTCTGCAGATGGCCAAAATGAAGACAAACTTTGGGAACTTAAGCAGCATTTTGGGCAGGAGAGAACTCTTAACTCTTTCCAGAGCTGGCAGCAGAATGAGTCAGAGCCTGAAGAGTCCAAGTGCTGACAGCCCTGAGGTTCAGGGAGGAGCTGGGATTCTGGGGTGCTCAGAAATAGCAACTGGATTTTCAATACTAAATATTTCATTCCCAACAAAGTCCTCAAAAATCCCACAATTCCTGTACCTTCACATGAGGATGTGCAGAATATTATCCTTTGTCTGCTTCCACCAGGAGCTGGTATGGAAGGAGTCCAAAGAAAGGTTCTGCAGGGAATTTCCCAATATGGAAGCTTTGAAACAGCTCAAATCAAACCAAACACGGTGGGTTGGTCCTCTGGGAGCTTCTGCTGGGAATCCAGTGTCGTCCTCAGGGGCACCCAAAGCTCCTGGCAGGTTCAGTGCCAAGTCCACATGCAAGGAGCAGCCAGGCTGCGCCTCCCATCCCTGTGTCCATGCAGGTGCAGGGATCAGCAGGCAGGGAACACAATTCCACGGCCTCAGTGTCCCTGCAGGGACACCCCGAGCCTGGCCCTACACGAACTCGGTGAAGTCGTCCACGGAGGAGATCAGCCTCTTCCTCTGCCCCGTCTCGTAGGTGGGAGGGGGGTCCTGGGGGATCTGGGGAGGGGGTTTTGTGGGGGCAGAGGGGTGCAGCTGCAGGGGAAGGCCAGGGCTCTGGTACTGTGTCTCTTCACGGAGCTGAAAGGCAACGGAGAGCAGGTGAGCTCCATTCTCTCCAAAATTCTTCCAAATCTCCATCTGGGCAGGGCAGGTTACCAGGACACTCTGGCAGTGCCACTCTGTCCAGGTGTTGGACATCAGGAGGAATTTCCCCATGGAAAGGGTGGTCAGGTACTGGAAGGGGCACAGGTTTGGAGTCCCCAAGGAATTCCTGGAGGTGGCAATCTCCGGGCTGGGGACAAGGTGGGCATTGGACACAGGTTGGACTCGATGGGTTTGGAGGGCTTTTCCAATATCAGTGATTCTGGGATTCCAGGATTAAGCTTCCCAAAGCCCTTACTGCCAGTGAAACTGTTTGACATTGCCACACTTGAACTGGATGATCCTTAAGGTCCCTTCCAACCCAAACTGTGATTTCATGACCAGCTGGATTCTAAGCTCTGTACACACAGCCCTCCTCTCACTCAGCCAGTTCTGACAGCTGGTTTCACCTGCAGCCTGAGCTGCAGGAAGAGTCTCAGTCAAGCCCAGTCCCACCCCTGAGAGCAGCTGCACTCACCCGGTGCCGCAGCCTCTTGATGTGGCGCAGCCTGGCGATCCACTTGGAGGGGTAGGTGTCCGTGGGGTTGGATCTGCTGTGGTGGACCTGGGAAGCCATCTGGGTTGGGAAGGTTGGGGAGAAGCAGGGAAAGAGAGGAGCCACATTAACATAACCACAACAATAAAATTAATCAAAATTTTCAGAGCAGTTTGACAGCAACTGCAATCCAGCTCTGAGTTAGCAGTGCTCAGGTGCCAACTCTGGCTTCAAGGTCAAGTAGCAAAGTTGTTTCTTTGCTTCAGCAGGCCCTGCCTGTTTCCTTGGAAGCCAGTGATGGGCCAAGGCAGCAGCTGGAAGCTCAGGGAGCTGGGGGTACTCACGTTGGCATGCAGGGCCATCTGACGGGCCACGAAGGGCAGGTTCTTGTCAGAGATGATCTTGGCAACACTCGTGTCCACCAGACCCTCCATGTCTTTAGTTTAAAGGAATAGGAAAAGAATTGTCTTCAGACAGTTAAGAAGAAGCCAAAGGTTGCCAGTAACTAAATATCTAAGTCAAATAAACCTGAGGAATTGTATCAGCCAAGTCCCCACAAGCTCCACAGCTCCTGCTCTAACAGAACCTGCTCTGCAATTCTGGCTCCCAAATTCTGGCTGCTCCATAAAGGTTTGGGGAGACGCTGCTGGGCTCTCACATGAACCAAGTGTGAGCCAGAAACACCTGTGGTAAAACTGCTGAACCCTCCATGTCCTCCAGCATTCCCAAGCAGCTGTTGGAGGGAGGGATCTGCTCTGCTGCTGGCACTGGATCCTGAGCTTGAACACAGCATGAGCAATCCAGAGAAGGTACATGAGCAGGGCAATCCCAGATCTAGCTGGGCAAACTGGTTCCAAAGGGCTTTTCCTGGAAGTTTTAACTTTTGAAACACAAACCCCCAGCACAGCACGGGCTGAGGAATTCCCACCTTTCCGGCACTGCAGCGTCACCAGGTTACAGTCGTAGTCCAGGGGGGTGATGATCACATGCACAAAATTGAACTGCCCCTGAGGAGAAGCCAATGAACCAGTCACAAACATTTCCCTGGCAGCACTGTGGTTTGAGAATGCCATAAACACACACCAGCGAACCCACCTTCCAACAGTTCCCCCACAATCCCCACACAGTTTTTAGGGTAACACCCACACACACGAAGGTTACAACCCTGTGCTCCTGCTGTAACACACCCACGAGGAAAATCCCCTACCTTTATTGTGCCCAGCTTAAAATCCTCTCCAGAATCATTGTAAACAATGGAAACAAAATCATTCCCCAGGTGCCTCTTCTTGTCACAGCGGTATTTATCCAAATCCTTCGTGGGCATCAGAGTAGCAATGTGGAAAATGGCTGGAGAGGGAACACAGAGATCCTCAGGCTGGGCTGGGGAAGCAGCAATGGTCACGTGCCAGTAATAAAAACACAAACTGTGCTCCCTCGATAGATTTGTCCCTGTTTGTGACAGCTGAATCCAGTCCCACTGGATGCTCCAGAGGTCCATGGAGCACAGAGGGCAGCAGCCAGTGGGAAGGACCACAGCAGCACAGGGAGGAGACCCTGGGTTAGGGAGGGAAGAGGCAAAAGAGCTTAAACCAGGACTCGCCCCAAGTGAGCTCTGCAGAGCCTCAGGGAGTGACCTGCAACCACCCCATGGAACTGGACTCCATGTGATGAGCACAGAGCTGTGCAGAAAAATTTGGGAAGTTCACCATATCCTGCTGGATGCTGGATGATTTCTGCACTGCTTGGTGCTGCAGGAGCTGGGTGACACTGCAGTGACATGAGCCATGTCCACAGCAGTGACACCCCCTGCTCCGAACTGCTCTTCAGAGAATCACAGCAATACTGACACCACCCTCAATGAACAGCTTTCACAGCAGCTGGGGACAGCAGCTAAATCTGCAAACCAAACCCTGCCAGCCTTTGAAGAGCTGATAATTTCACAGATTTACCGAGCAGATCTTTTCACAGAGCAGACTGTTTTACAGAGCAGACCACTATAAACTGGTGTGATGTTTTTTTTTGCTAAGTAAGGCAGGTATGTTTTGGCCTGAACTTTATCACACGGCTTGCAGAGCTACCAGAGAGAACAGGAGGGGATCAGAGCCCAGCACATCCTCACCACCTCCCTGGGAAGGAACAGCACGGAAGGCAGGTCAGTTAAGGTGAGGAGACACCAACCACCCTTCCAGCTCACCTTGCATGATGTCATCGTGCCAGCAGTAGGTGAACTGCCCATCCTCCCCACACACATCCAGGCCACCCAGGTAGATCTTGTCAGGCTGGCAGTCCTTGAGCTCGATGAGCTTGCCCAGCCCCGTGAGGAACTCGGTGTAGCGGTAGGAGCCGTGCTCGTTGGACAGGATGGCAATCTCGTTGTTGCTCTGGGACACAGGGACATGCCACGTGTCACACTCAGTGCCAGCAGCACTGCACCAGCATCACAGACCCTTCCTGGGATCAGGTGATTGCCCTCACAGAAGGGTTTCATGCAGGCGCTGATTTTTTAGCACAGGAAATGAAGGAAAAGGAAGGCTGCTGCAGGAACAGGGCAAATCCCACGGCTGGAGCAGGGAAACCCCAGAGCTGGAGAGGTTCCCAACATCCCACAAGGATTCAGGCCCCTGCACACACTCACCTGGCCCTCCCCAACGTAGAGCACTGCAATCTTGTGTGTGTCGTAGGATGGGATCTGATCCAGGAGCTGCACCGACCTCTCAAACGTCTGCAACCAAAACAGGGACCCCACCTGAGCAGCCTGGGAGATCCCTCCCAACCCAAACCATCCCAGCATTCTGCCAGCCTTAAATAATCCCCTCCAC